AGGATATAATCCTACGACTTTTACCAAAATATTTATTCAAAAAGTTGTAAAATTCGAAAGTCATTTAGAAATGCCATAGTTCATAAAAGTAAGGGTACAGTTCGCACATACAGATTATGATGTAGGGTTAACCGAATCCTGAAAATTATCACGGAAAACAAAGCTTTTTTAATGGATGATAATGGAATAGTAACTCCAGCTGCAGTGTCAGTATTCGCTGGCGAGGAACCAGTGAGGGATGATAGGGGGAGAATAAAAGTAGGTCACTTGGTCCGTAGTGAAGAATTCATCAATTTGGGGATAAGAAATTATGTTACGTTATATTTTCAACTTCGTCGTTACATGAATCCTTCACACGTTCAGTTACCTATTATGTTCAAATTTTTAATTACTATGTTCACCTTCCGACTCTATTGTACCTACATCTCGCTGATAAATGATGTAAATATTAATTCATCAACGGTCACAACCGCTGATTTTAGTGCTGTCAAGTCACAAGTGTAACTAAAGCTTGATTACGACATGGCCGCGAAATTTTATTTTTAATTATCTTCGCGTCAATTAAAAATACTTAGGCATTATAAATTTAAATAAAATAGGTAGATCTTACAATTCTATATGTAAAGTCTAACTACGAGTACTATTTTGCAATATAATAAACTGACAAAAATATTATAGTACCTATATATAATATAAATACTAATAAATACTAATATAATATAACTATAATAGTAAATATTATAGTATTACAAACATTGTATTACTTTTGGAAAGTTTGTCCTTAATGGTATGCATTTATTTATTAGACACTTACATATATTTAAAAGGCTAACAACGCATTGGTTACAGCCCTTGTGCACTCGATATGATAGAGCCTTTTGTCTCCCTAAAAACAAAATAATTCGCTACATAATAATCAAATTACTAGTACTTTATTCCATGTTTATTAAAATGTTTTATTATTTATATTAACGTTTTAAAAAAAATCGTCTTTAAAACAATTTATTGTATGTTCAACAGTGGACAGATAATGGCTGATATAATGGAAATATTTTATTACTATAGGTACTTGATAACTAGTGCGTTGAGAGTTATGAATAGGTAAAGTTTAATTCCAACACGCTATCGTGTATTGTTTGACAGCTAAATTAATGAACAAGTTTTGTTCACCTTCAGATAGTCTATCGAATAGTCACTATATTCCATTATAACTAGCAGAATAATAGGCACTGCGGCGCCCCTTGTTTAACCCATTTTACATAGACTAATTTCGATTCGTTAAAATGTGTTGTTTCCGCTCTGCGACTAATGGCGTTGCATTGTTTAACCAAGTACGTTATATGTTAAACAGTTGAAAAATACGTCCTTCACTACAGGTGAATTATACATTTTATACGTATAGTTCTGTATAATTATATGTAATTGTATATATTTTACATAGGTATTCTATTTATTGTTTCTTATAAATTTTGTATACAGTTTTATTTTCCTTTATGTTATGCACCTTAGAATAGCAAACAAGGGGCCCCTGATGGAAAATAGTAATAGATATGGAACATTTTTCCTATATAATAATATCATTATCATTTCAATATCTTATGCAATATTAATAATCATTAATGTGTAAAAAAGAAAATTGTCAATTTGATATAAATACTATTAAAGTGAGAAAAACGACGCACCTCTGTAAAAATAAATACAATTAATAACAAATTAAATAAGTATAAATAAAATACATACAACTAGGATGCGTTTAGTGCTAAACACATTTTGAATAGAATAGAAATAATCTTTATTTGAATAGACTTGTTTACAAGTTCTTTTAAATCGTTAATTTTATATGATTGTACAGCTGGGTTCGGGATGTTGTTATCTGCTGAGAAGAATCTACGAAAAAACTCAACATTTACAGATAATTTAACATTAGCACAGGTACTATAACTATAATTAGTATTAAGTTCTATTTATATGTATTATTGAATGGAAAATAAACAAGCAAACATAAGCAGACCAATCCTCACAAACAGCACCCGTTCACGAGCATGACGGATGACGGAGGAGTCAGCTAACATTGCGCTTAACTGTATTTTAGGACTTTCGCTCAATGTTCCGGCCCATCACGCCGCCACCAATCAGGACCTTATAGTGAGCAGCATGTTAAACTTTTACTATCAGTAGATAGGAAAATTGTCAATTGTATGTTGTAAAAATGTCATTACTATAGTATAAATACGAGTACCTTTGTTAGCCGAGAACATAGAGAGTATTTTTTCACGGAGACATTTTACTCTAACTGTTGACATCAACAATGTTACGTGTTTTCATTTTGTTTGTGACCAAAATTATTATCCAAGATTAATGTTATAAAAGTATACAAGTATATTATGAAACTACGTGATAAAATTTTTAATGCTACTATAATAATGCGATACGGCGAGTAATAATAGTTTGGCATAGAATGGGCCACCCTTTCCTTTCCCGTGGGTGTCTTAAGAAGCGACTAAGGGACGGCGAGAGATGGGCAGCAGCGTCCCTCTTAAAACATTCCCAAAGGCCTAACTGCAATTGCCAACTCGCCTGCCAAGCGTCGCAACTACTGGCAAAACCCCCCTTATGTGGGACGACTACATTCGGCAGTGGAGAGTTAAAGACTGATATGATGATGATGGTAATAATAATATTATTATCATTAATGAGTAATAATTATATATACATTATTAAATTTTGACAAGAACTTTTTTAGGTATCAATATTAGTGTGTGTGAGATATTGGTTAAATTGCTCCGAATAACAAGACCAAAATTAGGTATGACTTCCAGTCTTTTAAATTTTCGCGTAAATCCCTCATAATGCTAAACATTAATAAAAACAATGAATACAAGAGCCAATATTCAGCTCGTTCACTATAACAATGGAATTAAATAATTATGCTCAACGTAATACTTATTAAGTTAGGTACGTGCAAAACATACTTAAAGAGTATTTGCGTTCATTTTAACGGCAATTGTCAATAAATTGCCTAGACTACCCCACCTATCTGGGATTACAGTTGTAAATATTCAATAACGGTATATTTTCTTGTTTTACAATTTAATATACTTACTACTTGATACTTCATTGTTTATAATACTTACTTTAAAGAAATATTTCTTATAGATATATTTATTTTTTATTAACGGATAATTGTATAACAATTCTAATAGGAAGAATGCAATTAAATTGTCACGCATAGTAGGTAAGCTTGTGGCGCGCAGCAGGCGCGGTCGTAACTAGGTCACCCATTTCTCGATGCCCGACGCAAAAGGACAAAGAGACGAGTCGACCTCCGTTAATGTTCGTTACCTACGTCGTTATAGAAATACTTATACCATTATTTTATACTTATAGTTCAATATAAACTCTCGGCACCCTCGACTTTCATGTCTAAGTAATAAAAGAGGGGACTACAAGTAGCTTTGGAACGAAACGCAATAACGTGTTAAATGACCCGAATACGATTTACCCAAGTGTTTTTATTTCTAAACTATACTATAATGAAATAAATTGAAAAACAAGAACAAGAACTTAGAAATAAAAATATACAAAGGAGGACGTACAACAATAAAAGCAATCGGAGAAGTAGAAATACATTCATCAAGATCCTACGCAGTACCCAACGGATACGTTTATTTTTCTTTTTTCCTTTTTCGGGCACGGACGTCCTACTGCCTACCTACTGGATTTGCATATACGTTCTAGTTGCAGGTATTGACATCCTACGCAGTATATTGTCCAGTTTTAAAGAAAAATTACCTATTAATAATATATGTGCCTAATATGTACTTAATGACAATGAAGAAACAGATGTACTCGTATATTGTAAGCATAAAGATTTTTTGTAGGGCCATGAGCGACCTTATAAGAAGACAATAAATTAAATCAGAATATTTGATTAAGGTACTTAGCTCCCTCCGATTTATCTCAAAACAAAGATAATGATTCTTCTAATCAGATCCGCTTAGTGCGAGAGTATTAAATCTTTGGTAATTCTTGTAAATCTATTTGCACAGATGTATTTGATTTGTACACCAAACAACCCAGCAGCTACCGATATTTAACATTACGTAAAACGTTCGAGATTTTATTCGTGTCTTTTTTACTTTACACTTTTACAACATGATACGTGTCAAACATTGATTTAAAAGCATCCGGTTAAAATAACAGTTCGGTTAATTTTCTACATTAATTTTCTAAGAATAATATTAACCTTGAGATAGCTTGCTTATTGCATCAATCCAACCATATTTTGGTAGTGGCATTTTCCTCCGACTTCGCGACTGGAATAAGCAAATCCGTAGTCACAAGTAGGTTGGTTATTCTAAGTCGGTGCTTTATTGTATTTACGTGCCATAGATATGAGATAATATATAGATATACAGGGGCGGGTCAAGGTGACGAACTGCTTTCAACTTCGCCTACTATACATATATGGAACTAACATATTTCAGCTCCTGTTTAGATCAAGCAGTTTTGTCACGAATCGTGTTCTAATTATACGGCGTTGAACTCTAATTTCCACATAATATCTGATCCTGGCATCGACGTCGTGAAGCCTGTTAATTGCTTAATCCTTAAATGTCCTTGTGAACCGTGTTAGTGCTAATCTGTTCATTGCGATATGCGTTGAACAATAGACTGAGACTAACTACACACCACGCGGAAGAGCGTTAAAATACGTCGTAAAAAGTGTAGTTTCAACTTTATGACTCGTATTCAATTGGGGCTTGTAAAAAGCGTTTTATTGGAGTAGCATCCTGGCTACGAGGTCGCAGTGCTCAGATAGCTCTAATTAAAAACTGGCCGCATGCTCTTTTCTTGCGAAAGCATGGCCTCTGCAAATTGCCCAATTGCAATATTATGCCTGCCCTTTTATAGTTTAATATCCAGATTTTATCGAAGCCATTTGTTAACCTTGAGACACAACAAAAAGTTTTAAGCATATATGTACTTATTTGTTGCAGGTTAAACTACCAGTGAAACGAACGTTACCCGTGAAGACTTCTAGCTTAGAAGACTTAAGTGCCATTCAAATTACCAGATTACCAGAAAAGTGATATAATTTTATCTAATGATAGAGTATAACCGTGATATATACATATAAAGAACTCTAGATCTAGGTGCTAACACCAATAGTTTTTAGTGTAAAACGTAACCAAAAAGAAACGAAACTGGCTCCGTACAAGGATATCATGAACTCATCGAGTATGAGTTCCACAGTGCCAACTATTAAGTGTGAGGATACGTCCCCATCGCCGTCGGCGCCAGTCGGCACCGATGGCGAATCAACGGCAAATGGGGCGTATAACTTGAGCGTAAACGTAAATCTCAGTGCTGCTATGATCAACCTCCTGAGTGCTGAAACTCCGAACGCTACGACACTCAGGACGCCAGAAATTGTCAACGATGTAATCACGATGACCAATCCTCTGGACCAGTACAATTATACAGAAAAAAATTCCGGTTTCAAGGTAAGCATATTTCTATTTTTATTTTAAATTAGTGATTATTATATATTTATTCGTATCTATCATTACTTTATTTTGAAAATATTAAAGCATATAATATAGCGTAATTTCAATGTTTTCATTATTATCTAAGATCTTACAAGGACGGCATAAAGTAAACATCCATGACTGTACGGGGCTTGGAGCCAGAACGCTGCCTACGCATATCGGGAAACATTTCAATGACCAACGGCAAGCTTGTTAGAGTCATCCCTCTGACCATGTTAATACCTTGCCTATTTCTTGCATCCTGTTGCGATGAGCAACAAATAATCAAAATGCGCGGTAGAGCTTGCAAGAGCCTCCCTCTACTTGGGTCACATCCATGTCGCCGGTTCGAATACAAAATAAGTGTTACATGTATCTTGAATAGTTGCCAAGAATCTGTTGCCACGTAGCATAGTCACGTGACTGAACCATCAGTACTACATTAAAACGTTGAATAATAACTCTGTTGTCTCTAGCATGCAACACCATGAGGTCATGCACCTGATGCAAATTATTTATTCATACTGAAAAGAAACAGATTTCCAGGCGCCTTGACCAGGTGTTTCAGTAGGTAAATTGTAAATACGTTGCGTATATTTTTTAATCAGAGATTATTTTATAAACTAATTTGTATAAACTAATTTATTGTGCTTAGATGAATTAATGAATGCGATATATTCAGAGCGAAACACAGCAAGAGAATAAAAAATCGTATGTACTTATATTATCTGATGACAAATCGTGTTTTGGACATTTTATTAATGCTGCCAACATTGTAAACTAATGGGAAGTGCATTACGTAAATAGATAAATGTAGGTAGGTGTCACTACACCTAATTTTATTTTTGTATTAAAAGAGTATGTAAACCTATCCATGACAGTCAATCCCTAAACATTTTTAAAAATAGACTTAAAGAGCATCTTCTATCCATAACAATTAGAGAGCAGCTTTTATTGAGGCTTCTTCTAAAAATGACTTTCCCCAAGAAAATTTAAAGGACAGTGTATATTATTTACAGAAAAGAAAGGATATCCTAACTGTTTTAAGTTCCTTAGAATAGAAGAATTGTAGAATTTCTTCATAAAACAGTATTAGAAGTTCATTTATACAATACAATACATTAGTCAATTATAGCTTAGTTTAATTAGATTTTAAGGTAAAAGCTAACGGTTTAACTTACTTGTAATTTAGTTGAAAAAACTTCACTAGTTTCGGAATCATTCGGGACCCGTAATGTTCAGCGGTTGTGACGCGATTTATCGACCAAATTGCACGTAAGTTAAACCTGTAGTTATTACATTTAAATACAATGTGTACGTACAAAAATTTTACCAAAAGATTAATTAGCTTCTAACTTAGTTTCGATTTAAATAACACATTACCCCGATCGACTCAGTAACCAGTACAATAATAGTACAAAAATATTTCGACCCATGTTGCTAGATATTCCATTTTAAAATACCTACTATTGATGAATATTGGAGTTACAAATTCTTTGGTAGTATTTATTATTATTATTCACACTTATTTTTAATATTAGGTTCTTTTGTCTGACTACCTTCGATTTTATTTGTATTTCTTTAAGCAAATCCCAGAAACATTCAATTTCGTCTGTATTTTGTGAAATAAAATTCAATATGATCTGTTATTGGTAACATGATGTAATAAGGTCACAGAGTTTCAACATGCACCCTGTGGGGGTACATTGCACAGCAAACATATCAATAGATTCTTAATACATTACTTTAATCATCATCATGATTTCAGCTATTATCCGTCCACTGCTAAACATAGGCTTCCCCTATAGACTGCCATAAAGAACGGTCCTAAGCCACCTTCATCTACTGACTACCTAGAATGCATTTGTGGTCATCGCTCCATCTAGTGGGGAGTCATCCTATACTGCGTTTGCTCGTACAGGATTGGTATTCAAGAACCTTTCTTTCCCATCTGTTGTCAATCCTTCCAGCTATGTGACCAGTCCATTGCCACTTCAGCTTGCTTATCATTAATTATTATTAATTAAATATTAATTGCTACGAAAACTGAAGTGGCAATTGCCTATTCTTATAGCACGAAAAACCGATAACCGATGTGATATAAGTTTTCGAATGGTGACCCCGTACTGACAAATACAAGCCGGGCGGCTCTTCATTATTCAGTAGATTTTTATATGCATCTTAGAATGGCAAACAAGCTGACGGCCCACCTGATGGAATGTGGTAACCGTCGCCTATAGACATGAGCAGTACCATGGACATAACAGAGTATACTGTTTTGCCCATGATACGCCTCCATGCGTTGCCCCCCCCCACTGCCCTCCCGTGTGTTATTACTCTCTATCCTATAAATTTACTGCCATATCCCACCCTTCAAACCGAAACACAGCCATGCAAACGCAACTACTTCACGGTAGAAACACGAATGGGACAGAGGTGTCCAAGCACGCACCACCATCCAACGATTTTTGTACAAAGTCTCCCTCGCTAAGAACCTTTCCCTATGACAGTCTACGGGGAGGACTATATTAAGCAGCAGACAATTGTAACGGCTAAAGTTGTGATGATAATAAATAATAATTAAAAGTAGATTAATTTAGTTGTATTATATTGCATAAGAAATAAATATAGGTATAATAAAACCCACACACACCAAAAAAAATCCTTTTTTACATCAAAAAAAAAATCCTACGATACAATAGATTAGAATTTATTATTATAAATTATAGAAAGAATTTGATGCCGTTATGTTCTAGCTCAGCCATCATTGTAAACTTGTCTTAAACCTACAAGCTCAGAGCCTCCAAGTTTTAAATGTAAGTAGGTAGTAGCTTATGCGATAGTTGAATGTGGGCGAGTCAATTTAGATAGTGTGTAGGTAATCCATTTCTACAATTTAGTTTATACTTATATTACATTTTATAAGATATCAAGAAAATATTATTGAAAATAATTGAATACTAAAAACCGATTTCAATTTCAACAGTATTGGGCAATCGTGGGAAGTAAATTAATAAATCCTTTCAATTAAAAACAGAATTAATATCCCTGACATTGCTTTTCCTGTTGTTGAGGTAATAACCTTATCTATATACACAAAAAAACTGTCGAATTGAGAACTTCCTCTTCTAGTGAAGTATATTTAAAATAAATAATTTCAAAACAAAAAAAATGCACTTGACCGTTTGCAATTTGTATTCTGGTAATTAATGGTCCCTAAATAGATACAAGTACTACTGTTAAATATTTATGTAAAAAATCTTATATATAAAATTCTCGTGTCACGGTGTTTGTTACCAAACTCCTCCGAAACGGCTTTACCGATTTTTATGAAATTTGGTGTGAATATTGGGTAGGTCTGAGAATCGGCCAACATCTATTTTTTATACCCTTCAATAATAAGGGTGACCCTCGCCAAAAAATTTTTTTATTTTTTTGACAAATTTTTCAATTTTTATTTTATTATGATTTAGCATTGAAAAATATAAATTTTCACCGTTTTACGATCAACGCCTGTTTTTTAATCGCTATTTTTATATTCCGCTATAGGGTTGCAAGATGGCAATCGAATATAATAATTGTAGTACGATAATTTTTCATGTATAGTTCTAGAAATAATGTATATGGTAAAACAACGTTTGCTGAGTCAGAGTTAAAATTTTATATGTTTTCTGACATTAAAAATGTCATGTGGAAAGTTCATTAGGTTTAAAAATAGCTAGATGTTATCTCTAAATTGAGATTGTAAAGCGGTTTGTTATAATATTTCTGTTAGAGTTTTAAATAAATACTTAAGTGACAAAGATAACAAAAAATCTACTTACATTATATACAAATGTACCTAGTTCATTGTTGTTTTTGTATTAATATTATCTAAGACTATCTAGACTGGCAGGAGATAAACACTTCTTAACAACTTAAATGTGTATTTGTTCTTGTTTGTTCCATCAAACAGGACAAATAGATTTATTTTATTATCTATGACTGTAACTAAATATGTTGTACCTGTAATATGAATAAAATAACTAGTAGATATCTATATTTCATAATAATTAAAAAGTAATAAGAATATAATATATCTAATATACTAATTTAATCTTACAATTTATAGTCTGTTTTAATAAAAGTTTAATAACAAAGCTTTGTTAAACTGTCTTATGGTCCGGCTATATCATTCATTATTCGCCTATTTATATTTTGTGTGTTTGTCCCAGCTAAGCTGTATACATGTTTTTGTATATGCCTACCTAATTACACATATACATTGGGAAACCTTACAAGTCCATTTTGACCCATTTTCCGAAGCCCACAGACCAATACACAAGTATTCTATAATAATAGAATGAAATCGGAATCTTTAGCATCTTTTCAAGTTTGAAAATCTTTCCGAAAGAACCATGGATCAAAAAGATAAAAAACCAAAAATTGTACCTCCGATAACAACAATAATAATTCTTATTCAAGTAAACTTAATTTTATATATTTTTGAATAGTCAATTTTTATTATTTTACCACCACATTCGAAATCGCAATTTCAACTGAGAACAGGCATGAACTCCAACTGTTTTTAAACAAAATGTGAATTTATAATTCAAAAATTGTGTCAATATAGACTTATTGTGTTTCATACTGTGTTTTGTGTACGTCTGAAAAACACAATGGTTTCAGTATTTGGTGCTTAAAACTGTAACCTGTATGTTATTATTTATTAAAAGGAGCACATAACTAATACATATTTAATACATTTACAGAGTGGAAGCGGCGACTCAAATTCCTCTGTCTCCAACGGTTCATCGGCGACGTCACCAGCTTCTGGCACTCCACCAAGCATACAAAAGGTGACTAAAACTCAGTAGTCTTTTAAAGTTGCTTCTATAGATAATTAGGTTATAATAGAAGATAGGGTAGAAACGATATAATAATTCATAGATATTTTAAGGTGTTACTCTGTTACAAAAGTGGAAACTAAGCAACCGCCTGATGATTGTCATAGCTTATTGATGCCTACCCCTTATAGAGAAGCAACAAATAAAATTATCAATAAGTACGTTACCACTAACACGTGCACAGCATAGGACGAGACAGCAACTTTCCATATGTTGTTCTTTCTCATACGAGTGTCGAAAACGAAAAAGAAACCCATGGTGTAGCTTCTAGGGAAAATCTTGACGGGTAGCTCAATCCACGCTTAGGCACTAGTTTCAACTTGATTACTCAATTCTTTATCAGTTAAAAAATATTAAGTCAAATCTTTATGAAACTCTCAGTATATATGCCATAAAATATACAAATATCAACAGAAAGATGACTAAAAGACGGGTAAAATACAAAATTTATAATATTTCTCAATTATAGAGATGACATGTTTAAAACAAAACCGTTAAATATCTTGAAAATGGAAATGTAATCTGAGTCACGCTCGAATCGGCACTTCGAAATGTCGAATATAGGTATTTCATATTTATTATGATATTTCATTCGCTCCACAGGTATTACCTATATAATATTATATTACTTATAATACCATCATATATACAATATTAAATGTCAAAAGAAATTAATGCAAATGATGTAATAAAACTATACAATTAATATAATGAACTGTCAATGGATTTGTACACATAAAACTGCATTATACAAATTTCTGACTATGCCTTCTAAGACAACTTAAAATAAATAGGTTGGAACTATATGGCGTTTTGTAATTTATTTAGGACTAATTATTTAATTTATTATTTATTTAGTATCTTAGAAATACTTAATAGATATAAATCATTGCCGTTTTTTAGTCATAACCTAGAATATTTATTATGACTACCTACCTATAAAATCACAATTATTCTAAGATTCTCACGGTTTCTATGCATACTTAAGTCGATATTTATTTATTCAATCATTGATGGGAATAAAATCTTGAAACTCAACCTTGATAGGGTCATTCAATCAATATAAAGCCAGCATGAATCATTATAATGTAAAAAAGTATAGATACTTATTCATAGTAAGCAATTATGTGTAAATTCTTCTCCGTGAGCACTCAAAGACATGCCTACGTACATTGTATAAATAAACATATCGGTATATATGTCATCATTACACTGTATTAGTACACCTGCCTACGCAACTGCTTCCATAACACATATACACAAACTAAATTCAATAATAAAATTATTAATTATTGACATTACTGAAGATCTCTTTGTATGAATCAATCAGTGAACTTTTTATTTCGTGTTAATTAATTTAAAGGTCATATCGGAAGCAAGGTCGTAGCCAGGGTCAGTGTTCACAAAATTATTTTCAGGTATAATTATTTTCGCGTACGTTAGCGAAATGGTCTATAATTTCTGTGAGTGACTGATCACTCAAATCGGGTTATGGATCTAATTATTTGTATACATATCGTAGGTGCCGCTTGAGCTGAGCGGATTTTGTTGTAAAGGGGCAACATGTGTCTCGTATATTATAGATTTTCAGAAAAATATATATCAACAGATTCTCATATTTATGTTTTTATGGCAACGTTAGACATGTATACGTATATTTGCATCTCCTAATATTTACTTATAGTAGGTACATTATTTCAGAAACAAGACTTTCTGCCACACATATTTCTTTTATTACACAGTTATGTCTGTAGAGTTAGCAGAACACGTTCGGTACTCGAAGATTTGGCATCATTTTCAGGCGAAACTTCTGGAATTTTCAAGCTAACTGTAATAATGCTTAAAAGGTTATCCTTGTGTGATAATCGAGTAAATATTGGTACAATATGCCATGATGTTATCGTTGCCCAACATGGTAATAAACTCCTCTTATTAAGAAACCCATTTATAGTAGAATGACATTAGTAGGTAGTTGTGTTATGGCACTTTCTAAATATAATAAGGAGTGTGGGATATTTGTTATTTTTAGGTTTTCATTACATTAAAAAGTATTATAAATAAAAAATAAATAGGGCTTGTTCAGGCGAGTTGAAAGAAATGGAAAATAATAATAATAATAGAAAGTAAAATAAATTTCTATATTTATTTTCAGACTTGCTCGGAATTAATAAAAGCTGGGTTGAAGCTGTCGATTGAATCCAAACGGAAGATGTCGGGAAGTGATACTGATGTAGGAATCAAACGGTTGAAAAAAGAAGAGAGCGATGACGATTATGACAGTAGTCATACACTAACAAATAAAAATGAAGGGGTGAGTGTCAACTATCTCTACCAAGAACACGCAAGAAGATATCAAAATAGATATCTTCTATCTTACCAGAGGGAGACTTTGTATAAAAGTCGATTGCTTGGGTACCTCTGTCCCATTTGTGTTTCAACCGTGAAGCAGTTGTGTTTGCATGGCTGTGTTTCGGTTTGAAGAGTGGGATATGGCGTGAATTTACTGGGTACAGAGGAATAACACCTGAGTCCTCAGGAATGGCAGCGCATGGGGGTATCATGGGCGAAACAGTATACTCTGTTATGTCCATGGTACTGCTCATGTCTATAGGCGACGGTTACCACTTTCCATCAGGTGGGCCGTCAGCTTGTTTGCCATTCTAAGTTGTATAAAAAAAAAAAAATCTTAAAATGGATACATTTCTCATGATTTTGTAATTTGTTACAGATATATTCATTTAGTTTAGTTATATAATTGGTTACATAATAGCGTTTAGTAATGTGCTAGCATGGTAACTACTGTCAAAACCCCCCCAACGGTAGAGGTTTATGTTCAGCAGTGGACAGTAAACGGCTTGAAGATAATTTCACTTACACAAATACGACAAGTTAAAAGCCGTGTTAAAAAACAATATGATTAAACATATATCAACCAGCTACATTAATAAAATAAAAATAAAAAAACTAAAGCTTTCAAAATAATAAAATTCTGCTGTCTATATGATATAGATATTTAAAAATAGTTACAAGCTGAATAACGGACTGACTTCGGAGAATTTAAAGATTAAAAATACGTTACGTAGTTAAGGTACTATTCATATATTGGTTGTACTCCATATAATAGTATTAAATGTTATATTGAATACATAATATCCATAGCTGCTTCTCAACAAGAAGCAACTATGTATTGCGAATCATATCTAGACTTTAATAGCTTTTGCTGTTGCATTATAATTCAACGGCTTCATTGAAGTTTTATGAGCTTACTAAGAAGGCATCGATAATGCGAAATCGCTCGTGACTGAACTTCCTGATTTGAAAGTTATGACAATGAGATATCACTCACTGGTTACGAATAATAAAAGCGACAAAATTTTATATGCACCTAATCCTATCGAATACTTAGATAGTTCTTCCTTTCAAATCACGTCAGATTTCATTTATAGTTTTGGGCTCTCTTCTTTAAGATTTAAGATTCATTGCTCGTTCTCTTTCATTTAGGAATCTGGCATATCTGTCACTACATAATTTTTTTTTGATACAATTCTGTAATGTGGAAATTGTAGATATATGTTGTGGTAATTGCGTAGAAGTCATCGTTGATAAAAATTGCACACTTAAGCCTGAAGGTGAAAAAATTTATTGCGATTACGTAATAATGACAAGTAAAGCTATGTTTTAACTAAAACTAAATAAATTAAATTTCAGTTAACACCAGAAGACGAAGAACGTAGAAGACGAAGAAGAGAACGGAATAAAATAGCAGCAACAAAATGTAGACTCAAAAAACGAGAGCGGACGGTCAATTTAGTGACTGAAAGTGAAGTATTGGAAACGCAAAATATTGAATTAAAGGCTCAGCTAAAGGTGAGTAAAATAATTAAATCCATGACATTAAAAGATAAAAAGATCAACCAAATTTGAATAGGTATTATCTATTATGTGAATAGATACTCGGTATCGAGTACTCGGCAGAAAAATATGTACATTTACTTATAACTGCACGTATCTTTAGATCGCAAAATAGTCGTTAGCCGAGAAATGACTTCCGAGCAATCATTGCTAACTGCATCCGGAAATGCAAAACTATGAATTTGAAATTGTTAAGCAATTTTTGTAGCCCTTTCAATGACTGTAAATTTTAAAAACGGTACTGCTACGAATGTGGTCATTATTAGTATTTATTTATTTAATAGTTCCTAAATATTACAGATACAATTTATTTTGTTACAGGACCTGGAAGTACAAAAGCGGCAGCTAGTTGACATGCTGTCATTACATGCATCCTCGTGTGTGAAAAACAACAACTCAAACACAAGACAGTCTCCGACGACACACTACAACATGATTCGGCCGTACGACTCACCTACCACATTCCCAACCAACTTCGAGGCACAGTCGCCGTACATCAGACCAGAGTCAGCAAACATCCTCGCCTCCAGCTATACCTGTGCAACACCGCTCAACGCCGATTCTTCCATAGACCCTATACCTTCCCTGGACACTTTATATGTGAACCCACAATTAACAGATGTGGATTACACGAGATCTGACAGTGTTCTCAGTTTACCTCCCAATTCCGAAAACAATTTCGTTACCACTGATGGTTTCTTACCCAAATCTACTAACTTGCTCGTACCAATTGATTCAGAACAGGAGTACTATGAGACAGAGGGGAACTATAATTTGACCACACCACAGTGCCACAGCTACAGCGGTACTGTTGTAGACGCACAAACTAAACTCAACAATGGCCTTAATGACAGATGCCTTGTCTAGTAACGATTACATCCACGTTTTGTCGGGTCCAAAATTTGTTTTGACATGTGTATACGTATAAGTAAGCATTGGTATAAAATTTAATTCGAAATAAAGTATCACCGTTGATTAAAATTAACTTTCCGTTTGTTCATGTTTTAAATATTACTGTGCTAATAAGAAAAAAAGGATAAAGGTAAAATTCTTGATAATTTTTAAAGCATTAAATTATAAATGTGCCAGAAAGTTGCGGCGGGGATTCATTTCGAAACGAAATCGTATGTCTACTGTGTAGGACAACAGCGTAGATTTAATAGTATCTGCAATACAAAATTTGGTGGATAATAAATAACAGAGGGAATCAGTGCCTATATCTAAAATTGCAAAGCAAAAATTATCCAAAATGCAGTGTTTAGGCGTAACATTAAGTCTATTGTTATATATTACATCTATTGACTTAAATTTCGTCTGATATTGCTATATTTTGAAATAATTTCAAAGGCCTTGGGGAGGTAATATCCCATTACATAAAAAGTGCAGTAGGTAGGTATAAAATCACAATGTTTCACTTTATTTAGATGGTAATGTCTAACATAAATTAAGTTTTATTTTTTAAGTTCTATAATTTTGCTTTGGTCTGTACAAAATATTTCACGATGTTTTTAATTTGAGATCTGATTTTATTTTAGTCGGTGCGATGTTTGACTGAGACTCAATATGCGGAGATTATGATATATAATACCACTAGTCCCTATTATATTGCGACCATCAGCTAAATATTAGACATTATAATTACCAATACTTTACCAGAATAGGAATCTACTACATAATACCATCAAATAATTTATGACAAACACGTATCGAAGTGGGACATGACAAGACATTTTATAAAAATAGGGACATACAAAATCGTCATGTTATTAATAATTATTTCGTATTTATATACTATACATAGTAACGTGTATTTTATAATATTCTCCAGTACAACATATAATGGATAAAATACCTCCTGTTAAAATTCCGAAGTTCTATCTTATGTTACAAAGAAATATATCACAGGTTATGTATGTAGATTATGTATATTATATGGATTTAAGGTGCTTTGACTCAGCGTAAGACGTGATATATAGCATATTTAGGTGTTAAGATTAAGTTTGTTAACAATTCAAGTATCTTTGAAAATATTTTTATCGTTTAATTGGGTCACGTAAACTAACATAAAGATTTATACTCGTATGTATACTTGAATAAAGTACAAATACATTATAGTGGTCTATTGAGGAAACTATGGTGAATATTGATTAATACATATTTATAAAAATGTGCCCACATTAATTTTATAATTTTTTTTTTAAATAAAATTAATTCAAGCGATTAGCTTAACAATAGAATGCAAATGATGACACTAGGGCATGATAAATTACAAAATCTTTATATTTACATATTTTAGTAATAAATACCGATTTTTAGACAACACAGTATCAAATTTAAATTGGCTATTACATATAACAGTTGCGCTAGCGCAATCAGTAATAAATTTAAAAACAATGATGTACTTTTTGAAAGAGATTACCGATTATATCAATGTAGTATGATGGTGTACAATTAAGATTGTAGTGTAATCAGATTCTTTTCTAAATCTTATGTATAGTTATGTGACCTTATTAATATATTTAGATATACTTAGAATATCGCTTTGGTCCATTTTATAACATTTTTAAAATCCATGTAGATATTTATTGATTTATGATCATTGTTTTACCGACATAGGTATATTATCTAAAGGTGCCTACCATAAACAAGTTCTAATTATAAAGGAAAGATTGATCACAATTTTGTTATTCTGTTGATATTTTATACACATTTTAGGATAAATATGTACTATCTGTTATCTGGGCTACTGTATATCGAGAATCAATATAATGATTGCTACAATTTACAATACTATAACGTTGTTTGGGTTCTCCAAAAATCTTTTCCATTTCATAGAGCTAGTAACACAAATAAAAATTTTTATTAAAAATATTTTTTATTGTTTGTTAATCTGAGAGATTAAGTCTTTAATGCTATACCATCAAAAACCATTATCATAAGATTTAGCATAATAACTGGAGTTGTACTATTATGTGATTATGTTATGTACATTGGTTTATTTTCGGTTAAAGATTTAAGACTGGTACCGTAATGGATTTTCAATTGTTTTACAAATTAATGTTTGGTACGTTTATCAAACAAGGAAATATGGACACACCTATGTAGCTCAGATAACTTAAAGGCCGCTCCGTTCTTAATAAGATAGTGCCTTGACCCTAGTCTGGCTGCGACAGCAGCGTAAATGTCAGTCGTGTGAGCATTTATTTTTATATTGTTATTAAAACATTAATTATTGTGATAAAAAAAAAATATTTTACTGTACACGTTTTACATGAATTTCAGACATTGTTATTTGTTGTTTAACAACTAGTGTTTAGTTTACGGTTTTGTTTTTGAAAATGAGTAGGGGATGGTCTTTGATAGGACAAGAGTGAAATAGCAGGCAATTGGCTCGTCGTTTTATTAGAATGTCTTTGTCATAGACAAAGTTTGCCGCGTAACCATATTACGCGGTAGCCATATTGAATCGCAACCATAGATATCTAAATTATCATAATGGCGACATGAGTAACAATATCTATGGTAAATGGACTGTCGTCTCACTCTTATCCCGTCACAGACCATCCTCTAAAATAACGAACTCGTGCAATTATGTTTAACATGATTTTTTTAAATTGAGCATGTTATAAACTTTTATTGTGATCGAAGTTCATTGTGTAAGTTTGTCTTTTTGTAGTTTGAACGTACCGTCGTTTTAATCTTACGTACAAGATTAACATTAGAAGGTATAGTTGTGATTTATATTGTTTTAAGGAAGCTCGTTCTCACATTTTTAATAGAGGTTTGAATTGAGTATTGATAGGTAAATGAGTATATAATATATTAGAATCTTTCAATACTACAAGTATTTTAATCAAATTGCCTAAGTTCTTTAGCTCTTCTCTCTATTACCGGTAACAATGCGGAAGTTTTTATCAATAATTCAAACATATTTAACAGCTATTATGGGAGCATATTTTTTTTTTTATAAATAATTTGTATTATTTAAAAAAAATTCGAAAGATTTTGGAAAATTTACCTACTTATTTCAAAATACTCCAATTCAAACTTCTTGTTTTAGATTACTTCAATAATGTAAGTGTAATGACATTTTTGGTTATATTTTATATTAACGTCAGTTAATATTACAACTCGTTAACAATGTTGTTATGTATTAAGATATTACTTATCGTGTATTTACTTTTAATTCATATGTAAAAAATGACAATTCTTAATATAATTTTAAAAGTAACATTTGGGATTGCAATAAAATGGGATTTGGTAGTTAACTTGTCTGGATATATTTTATCTATTTGTGTCGTGAACTTTTAGCGTAACTAGCATTTAACATGTTAGGAGTTATTTATAGGTGATAATCACCCTTTCCATCTGTTGTCTTCAAACATTTTGACAAATGGTATAATATTTATCACGTAGTTACAATAACTTATAAGTACATTCCACCATAAAGGTTCGATCATATAAAAAATATACAGCAATATTATTTTTATTCGTAAATATGTTTACGCTACCCCATGGAGGAGATTAACAAGCTGGACTTTGCTCTTCGGTTCTATCTTATGCATATGTTAGTGTAAACCTATTTACAATTTGTTGACTCTTATTTAGATCTAGCCAGTGAGTCATGGACATTTCACTGATCCCAAATGTATAATTTTATAATGATTAATTATTGTTAAATATTTATATAAAAATTGTAACCATTGTACAGGTCTGTCTGTTCTTCTTTAATCTGTTCTTTTTTCTTTCTATTTAATTATTAACATATACCTATCTTTTTACTAAAATTAATCATTTAAAAATATTGCAGACAACAGAATCCACCATTGTACATAATAAATTAACACAAAACTTAAAAATTATATAATAATATATATTAAAATAAATGGTATAGCCATTTATCGATGATAATATATATTGGCATACAATATTATTAACTAAATAATTTATCGCCAAACGAGAGAAAACAGAACAGATTTAATAACAAACAAATTACGTATGAAAACAAATTTCTTAATATCGTATTTGGCTGAATAAGTATAAAATTTAATACCTTTTTATATGTAAGTTATAGCGTATACTGTTAATGTAACTTTTAAGCCATTTCTAAGTGGATTACATTGAAAGCTATATACTAATGCTTAATTGCGATAATGTCTTGAATATTTTTGTCACAAAGAATTTATATCGTCTAAATGTTTAACATTGTTATACAGTGAGCTTATAGATTTTAGATTTATTGTATGAAATTTTAAAGTATAATGTCATTGGATAATTGTTATATAACGTGTGTACGTTTACATTTTGAGCGTAATGAACATCACTTGTACCTGCTTCGTGACTAATGTATAAATATTTTGACAGTCAAAGCAAAATTATTGCGCTTATCTATTAGATGAAATAAATCATTATATTGCATATAAATATTAATTTTATTTATATCCTTTAAAATCATTAAGTGTGCTCACGCATCGTTACCAACATACTTACTATAATCTCTCTTCTTTTTATTAAATTCTTAGGAAATGGAACTGCTAATGCAATAAAAGTTAAGGGTAAGACTAATATTCAAAAATAAAACACATTTTAAAAACTATGATATTATTTAATATCACAACGAGTGTCTTACGTTACAAAATTTACTACATACATTGTCGATATCCGATTTGAAAAATCTGAAATCGACTGAACCATATAATGATACATTACATATACATCTTATCACCAAGGTAACATCTTTAGATGAGATTAACTGCGAAGTGCCAATACCTCATCTATGGCATTTTTATTTTTCATTATAACATATTGACATTTCTCAGTCTATAAGTTATATCATGGTATCCCCATATTCATAAAAACTAAAACATCCTACAAACATCTTTTAACTATTTAAGTATTATGTCGATTTTTTACATATTGAGAATTTAGTGCAAAAGAAAAAGACAAAATACTTTAATAGCTAAAATAGATTTATGTGAGACTTGATGTTTTTGTAAATAAGAGGATTAGAATACAATGTAAGGAAAGTGGAGTAAATTACCTAAGCACAAGCACTATTTATGTTGTATTTGGGTTGTGATAGTTGCTAGTCACAGCAATGGCTTCTATATGTAGGTACCATAAACAAAAGTAACAAAAATCAGAGAGTCAATATTAATGACCATAGATTGTGTCAGAATTCGGTAGCAACAATAAAATTACATTTTATGACTACCTACTTTAAGAGTACGTTGTTGCCACAATTCTGATGTAAATGTTCATTACCTTTTGGTTTTGATCACTTATTTTTGTTGTTGGCTGTACAGATAGCCAGTAACATAATTGGAATAAAAAATATAAATTACATACATTTTTATACTAAATACATTTTAAATCTTTGCATATCGGATGTGGCAGTATCTATGCGAAGAGGGGCAGATGGATGGTAAGGTAAATGAGTCCGTGTGGACGTGTGTACAGAAAGACGAACAAATTACGGTCTAATTATATTAGTTTTACGATTTACTAATGTAATAAAAAAAAAAAAAAAAAAAAACTTGCGATGTCTTATATATATAAAAATACAAATAAAAACCAAAATAATTATTTTTGAGATTTTCTCTGTTCGTCTGTATGTTTGTTACGGCATCATGCAAAAACTACTGCATCAAATTGTATGCAGTTTTCGTAGTTGTTTGTTTGTCAGTTAAAATCTGGTATATGTTTTATGTTGGAACACAATAAATCTATTAATGTATCTGTTTCATTCGTTTTTCTAAAAACGGGCAAAAAGCTAGTGAATATATATATATATATACATATATATAAACAGTGCATCGCAACGTTGTTATACTCAATATGGAGAGCCACATAACAACTGTAAGTAAACAATTTAAAATTTTGTCTAACTAACAAATGTTACCAAAATTGCAAATGCAGAATTAGAATTTTGATAATTTTTGCTAGGCACAGTAAATTTATTTAAACGTATTTGTAGTTGTTGTTTTGTCGATAGGATGCTATTTGTTACCTGAAAAAGAAATTCAAGCGATAACTAATAAATTAAACGTTATTTGCATTAATGATTTATGAAATATTGTGCTAGTAATAAATAAATGTTTGATCTAATAAATTTCCGACACCTCAAGATCACGGTTATTAAATTGTAGGTATACATAAATATATTCTAGATTAAAATTGTAGCGTAAGCTTTGAATTTTCCTTCTAATATTAATAGTATATACAAAACAGATCAGCGAAGAAAATGCACCGAACCCACGTTCGCGTTTCTTCATAATTTACCTCAAGTTTCATAATAATCATATCAAGTAATAATATTAAAATTTTTAGGGTTAATGTTGCAATTTTTAAGTAGTTATGTATTTTAAATGTAGATTTTTTTCTATGTTAACACTTAGTTAATAATCTTTAATATCTAGTTGGAAAAGCAGCTGGAGCGAAATAAACCCTAGCGATAAAATATTTCAAAGAGAAAATATAAAAATTCGTCGCGCAAACATCGCAAGCACATTTATAGTAACAAGTTATATCATGATATTAAAAATGTTATATTCATGTATGTGAAAACCTAATGTAATGTACGAACAATATGTGACAAAAAAGAACAAATAACTACTGGTAACCATGCTTTACGATTAGTAATTTTGTACGTATAAATTAGCGCTTATTTTAAAACAATATATTATTGACATAAATTTATATTAAATAAAATTTTATTCTGACACGTCTGTTATCAAATTAATAATAAGAAGCTGTTTATATAAATAAATTAATTAATTTAGTAGAAAACACAATCAGAAAACATCTAATCTTGATACTTTTTTGCAAATAATGTCAACAAAATACAATTCTATATTAATTTGTAGCATGCATTATTTGAGTTGAATTAGTAAAGGAGAAGTTATATCAATACACCCAAAGCCATTAGCGATGATGAAAAAATGGAGTTTAGTATAATTAAATAAATGAGAATAATTAATAAATGAGAGATAGAATTGATATTTTTTTTGTGAATACGAAGTGAACGACAAAAACAGGTTATTTACAAAATGAAAAACTGCGTACGTTTTGAAGCCTGAGTTAGATAGCTCGCATCTCGCTTCAAACGCTGTGACAAAAGAAAAAATATACTTGATAGATTTGACATTTGTGTAGATTTCTCTATGGTCTTACAATCATTAGAAAAAAAAAATGAATTATGTATTAGAAGTATCAATTGAGCTGCATGTAATCTGAAGTCTAATAATAATTACGTATATAAAAAATATTTAGGTACATGAATAAAAAAAGGCAGTATGAAACACACACACACAGCTCTATAAACAATGCAATAGTAATATGGTTTTTATTACATCTATATGGTCAAACATAATATCGATAATGGAAGGCTTAAACAGCCCTTACAGATGTCAGATTTCAAGTCTATGTATTCATATTTATTTTAGATGTAGTAAAAAACACTAAGATACTAGAGGAAAAGTATAAAACACTTATTTATGACTTAATACACAAACATTTATCTACCCTTATCTCGATTTGGTGAACATCTATGTTTACCATATCGATCACCATTGAAGCGCCATTCTTTATTCAATTCAATTAGTTAAAATTGTTTTAGTACTTGAGAGAAACGTAAATAGTGCGATTGTTAAAGAATTTAATTCTAAAGCTAGTTTAAGGAATGGCGCCATAGAATCGACCCAATAACACAAGTAATAAATTTTCGAAATTGTACTTAAAGTAACTTGTTAATTACAAATGACGATGAAAATAATAATAATAAAAAAAAAAATTGTAATATAATCACTCACCATTTCGCGCGTTTAGACCAATCTTTTGGTGTCCAGTGGAGACATTTAGGATCTATTCTTAACGTTCTCTTCTCCATAGTTTTTTCGTGTTGCTATATTCCTATAACGCGTGAGAAATATCAGATCCAAAGGGAAAAACAATTTTCATATCAGAAAGGGTGTACCAACTAGGAACCCAGTATTTACAAAACTGAACAACTTCCCCTAGTACTGGTATTTTTTTTATACAATATGAAACTTAATATGAAGTTTAGTGCATTTCTATTCTATGTAGGGTTGGCTCTTCTAATTTTTCGGCTTCAGGATTTCCAGTATTGGGTTTTATTGAATTAATAATAGTCTCTAAATTGTTCTAAAACATGAATCACGATTACCAAATCAAACATCTATAGATACAATGTTAGTGTTCTATAAATATTCGATCTTAATGATTTTACGAACTTATGAACATTATAATAAAAGGTAAGATAGAAGGAAGGAGGGGGAGAGGGAGACCGAGACATAGTTACATCAGGCAGATCAAGGAAGGAGTTGGTGTCGTGTCGTATCAAGAGGTGAAGAGACTCGCTGAAAATCGTAGTGAGTGGCAAGAGCTCCACCGACAAGAGCGCAGCTCTTAAATAGATAGATAGATAGAATGATTTTAAACAAGTTTATTATTTATTTAATATAAAAAGTTTTATCATTGAGGTTTCGTGTTGGTATACCCTTTCGATGTATGTAACAAGAAATGTAACAGGTTACCTGGTTGACTGATATTATGTATTGTCCCTTATAGTAGTTGATTAAATTTAGGTTTTGCAGTGTGCTTATGACATCTTCTTTCTTTATACTAGTTAATTCACAAATTTCACTGAAAATTAATAGGAAGTCTATGTAAGTATATAGAAGATATTAAGGCAATTCTTATGTAGGACAATTCAAATTATTTTTTATTTCTTAAGAAGTCATGTCTTACGCCTTGAAGTTGAAAAGGATTGATAACATATTGTATACCCCAAAAAATATTTCATTTTTCGACAATCAAATAAAAATAGACACTTATAGAAAATAAAAGCATAAATAATAAAATTTGACAAAGAAAAAAATAAGTCTCTTTGAATTCAACCACGCAACAAAACTAAGGCCTTTGCATAGCTTAATGAGTAACTCTAAACTTCGGCATATGGATAAATACTTTAATTAAAATTCAACAAAAAATGTAAAAAATATCGTTAAATTATGATATTCCTTACTTTATGGTAATAATAGGTTTCTCGTTGTCGCCGACTGGTTTTGCGTGCATGAGTATGTCTAAAATAGTTTGTGCCCAATAACTCCTGTAGGAGAGCAATCCAAGATCCGACAGGGGTTTCTCTGGGGAACCAGTCTTGCCTTCAAATTTAGATAATTCATAACCTGTAAAGTAATGAAGAGAAGTCTGCTTAGTTCACAATGTGTCTATATATGATGTAACGGAAGGGATAGTGCAGATAAAAATCCAATGATACTATTTCTGAAACTTTTTTTTTATACAACTTAGAATGGCAAACAAGCTGACGGCCCACCTGATGGAAAGTGGTAACCGTTGCCTATAAACATGAGCAGTACCATGGACATAACAGAGTATACTGTTTCGCCCATGATACCCCCCTTGCGTTGCCATTCCTGAGAATGTTATTCTTCTGTACCCTGTAAATTCACGCCTACACTGTGTACACTGTACAAATTTCCTTAAGAACATAATTATATTCTTTTGCTTATAATATGAATGAAGCCTGTTCAGCCTAATACAACCATATTCAATCATCATCATCATCATATCAGCCTTTAACTGTCTATTGATGAATGTAAGCCTCCTTCTTAGGGAGTTTTGCAAAAAACTGCCACGCTTGGCAGGCGGATTGACAACCGCAGTTACGCTCCTATTCAGTACATTAATATATTACATACATATAGACACACTAGTAATAATAGTGTGTGTATAGAAATTTGCTTTAATTTTAAACAAACTTTGGCTTCCTCATTTTTTTAAGTCCATCTATTTAATATTACATACATGCCCATTATGTACCTTTTACAGAAAACAAATTAACTAAACAATGCTTCATCCTTATGAAGAAAATGAGATTCATATCTAACACGCGATAAACTAGATAGATAGATGAACACTTTATTTATTACTTAATTATAAAAAATAAAACAAAAGATAATATATAAAAATATGTTTTCTCCATGCGTATCGCAGTGGCCACAGCTCAGTGATAGTTTTGTTTAAAAGCAAATAACTTATGTCTATCGTAATTATATTATATATTACAAATCATTATAATAGCCTTAGGTTATAATTCATTTCAAATAGGTAAATCTAGTAGATACTTACTAAATTCGATTAATAGTTTTCCATACCCTTTTCTTTGGTAAGGAGGTAATGTAAGTATACATGCTACATTGTAGTCTTCTGTGCTCTCTTTTTCTTTTGAAAAATAACCTACGATATGGAAGCCTGCAACAAAAAAAAAATGGTTTCTAATATATTTTGTCAAAACAGCCATGAACGTAAAAAAAATACATTATAAAAAACATTTTGTTTTACTGTGTACAAATTGTGCAACACACAAACATATACGTGTTTTGTATGCGTGCATTGCACATCTTGACATGATATTCTGATTTTTATATCATATGTGATGTAAGTAGGATAGGAAAATAGCCAAATAGTAAAATTATATGCTTCAGTTTACTGTTCGCACAGAGAAAAATAAAACTAACCTCTTGAATCGAATTCTGTCATTACGTAAAATAAAAACGGGTCCGTATCGTAATAAAGTGTTTTGTGATCTAAGAACAGTTTGGCGAGTAGACATAGATTTTGGGCATAGCATTTATTCTTGCGGCCGTCGATCTCGAAGAACGATATACTGCCTTTTCGGTATATTTCGTTTCCGGGTGGATGTTTTAATTTACATTTAATCTGAAATTAGGATAGATGTTAAAGTATTTGTCATTCTGTTCACTTTTTTATTAATGCAACACAATCGAAGTAATGTATAAATACATTTTTCGCTATACATACCAAGTGTCGTTCTAAACATTTTTTACTTTTTCTATACTTCAGACAAAATTCACAAATGTAGATACAAGGTAAATGGACCATTTCCTGGAAATAAGAAAAGGATTAGTTTATAATTACGTTTAGTTAATCACGAATACATTACACACCTCATGCTTCATGTTAAAAGAATTACGGTCGATAATTTATTTATTTATTTTATCAACTGAGTGTGAGCTTTAGTTTCCCCGTACAGTTTACAGTATAATATGTAGGTAGGTAATAATTTTTGTAAGATTATAATATTTGGTTGTTCAATACGCAGTAATATAAATACATTAAGTGTAGTTTACACGGGGTACCTGTGGATATGGCGCGAAGTACCAGGGCCGTATGCGGTGCCTGCCGAGTTCGATCATCTCGATGTTCTTCATGCGGGTAACGAGGTCGTCGTGGCCGTGCGCTACCATGCTGCCGGACTGCCGCGGCCGCGGCGTCGGCGTCGCCGCCCCACTCGCTGGCGCCTCGCCCTCCGCGTCGCCGCCGGGGGTCAGCTCCTGTACATACCCGAGGGAAATGGATCCTTAGTAATGGGGTCTAATAATACATTGCTAGCAATATACCCTGTCAAGTTGATCTCCACGCGGTTTCCTTAAAAAATTAATTTAAAGGTTAATTCTTGTGGAATTCATCATGATGAGGTAACTGACCTTTCATTTATGAACTGACAAAACATGTAGTTAAAAACTATTGTACTGCTCACGCTAATGACGTCAAAATATTAAATTTGCTTAAATTAAAAATATATATTTAAGTTTTATCAGGTAAAGAGACAGTAAATATTACAATATTGTTTACCCACCTCTGTTTCCATCGAGTTCGCTTTTCTTTTCCTATTAATCTTCTTTTGGAGGGCGGCGGCCAACACCGCACCCCCGTTGACGAGGGAAGTCGAGTCATGTCCCAGTGTAGGGCTGGCAGGTCTGGATATAAGTTGTCGCGGCTCACCAGGCAAACCTGACATACAATATATGTTTTATCCTCTTTCATTATTTTTGTTTCTTTTTTTTACATATTTGGAAAAGAGGTCCTCAATTTGTTTGTATATTTTTATTTTATTTTTTATAACAGGGAGTAAATGAGCATGTAGCTCACCTAATGATAAATGATTACCGCAGCGCATAGGCATCTGCAACATCAGAGAAGTTGCAAATGCAATGTTTGCAGTGTTGCCGGCCTTTTCAGATTGTACTTTTTTTAGATTCTACACCAATTGTATCTTATAATGGCAGTAATAAAAAAGTATATATCTATACTTAAAATTACAATTACTGAATAAATACTGAATGCAAGTTTAAGTTTTTGAAATGTGTTGTTTATTCTGTATTCAAACAGAGGATATAAAAATAATAGAAAATTCTAATAATTATATTCTAATAATAACATAAAAAATATATTATTTTTAAACCATTGTAATGTCTCAAAATATTTAATTAAAAGTACTAGTAGAAGAAATAAAAAAATAAAGAGAAAACTAATATCAAAAAGAAACCACTTACCTCATTAATATCAACAACATGCACATCAAAAACCACATTAGGCTAGGGATAGAAAAAATACAAAATAGTAATGAACTGAACATACCATGTGCATTTTTATGTGCAGAACCATTCAGTGCATTGCTAAAGTGGGTTTTTTCAGGCAATTTGGGTTGAGGTTGAGGTGGTTGATTCACTACAGAGGCTTTATTTGTATTGCTATTAGACTTCTGAATTTCAGTGCAGACACTATCATCTGCAGACAAAAAGTATATTCATAAATATATACATTCATGACATAAATAAATCGTCAAAAAATCAAGAATACAGAAATTGTCAGTTATATTAATATAATAGAAGTAAACATTTAAAAATTCTTGAGTTATATAAACTGACAATTTTATTATTTACTTCTATAATAAGTTTAAAAACTTTATGGAATTATAAAATACAATAGACTGCTGTATCTTATAATTTTTTCTCATATACATATAGGCTACTAAAACCGTTGTTTTATTCTGGTTAGGTGCAGTCAAATAAATTACACATTAATACAACTTTTCATAAAATACAATCTCTAAAAAGGAATGACTCACAACTTCCCAAAGGCGATTTGAAATCCAGTACAATAATATATCTACATACCTCCATAGTAGTAGCTTAATTATTATTGTCAATAAAGTTAAAGCAAAAGCATTAAGTTTTGTTTGGTTATGTAAAGCACAAAAAGTAGAAAAAAGAAATAAGTACCTTGAAATGTGAAACAATATTATAAAACAATAATTAGTATTAACTAATTATGTAAGTTTATAAGAACAGTGCAATGAATGATTTATCTAATTGAATAAGATATGTATCTTTAACAGCCCATATTTTAAGTACAAATTTTTTACTACAATAAAACCTGTATAGCAGTGCTTTTCCATTTTTAAAAACTTATAACCCTTTAATATTAAAAGAATCCCCCCACCAGAATTGTAATAAAACAATGTTATTAATTCTAAAAATTATATATTTTTTTCAAACCAACTTCAAAAAGAAGCAGTTTTGTTTTTAAATGTAAATAACTGGTTTTGTCACAATTGAAGTCGGTTTTTTTTTGTGAGACATAATTTTTAATTACTTATACATATACTTGTATGATACAGACAAATCCATCCAATAAGATATTACTACTTGCTTAAATATTGCATTGCATTGCTATTGATTCCTAGCTATATAGGCAATAAAAGATACATTAAGTCTTGAAGTACCTAGCTATTAGTGAGGCAGATCAAAACACCAACTTCAAAATGCAATAGGTTTTCAAATATGCAAAACGCAAGTAAAAAAGTAATAAATAAAACAACTATTATTAAAGTGGCATTTATAAAATAATACTAATGTGTTTAAGTAGTGTGAAGCAATACTAAGACAAAACACTCATACAAAGCTAGTAAAACTTAAATAAAAAATAACAAATGAATCATCAAAATCATTAGCATCCTTTTAAAGGAGTGTTTTTAGACGTTAAATTTATAGATCCACATATTAACTCCACAATTGTACTTAACATATTAGATAGAAGGCTCAAAATTTCTTGTCACTTTTTGATCTTTTTTCTTTTGGAAAAATGTTCATTTGTATTAGTAAAGTTTATTAGTAACTAACAGGATGCTAAGGATCAATTTTGCAAAGTAAAGTTTATTAGTTACATACATATACAGTTATACAAACTGTACATGTATGTAGCTAGAGAATTATTAGAGGTCAAAGTAAAAAAATAGCAAAACACACATACTAATAAAATGTGGCATCACGGCACCTCCTGATCCAATATGGGTCTTCTTTGGAGTGGTGGTGCCTCCGGTAGGTGCACCATCTCGCCGAGGAAACTGGACTTTGCGTGTGTCCAACCATGTCTCACCAACCCACTCGTCCAATCTTTTATTGACTAAAATACATTTCAATATTAACTAAATTATAACAAACTATTAACTTTGCTTTAAAGGGAAAGGAAGCGATGGCCTATTCTATGCTGGGACCACACGGGTACTTCAAACAGATAATTAACAGGTATTGCTTTATATCTCCTCTAATTAATAAAGCACGGCTTTATTATTACTCGGTTTGCCCAATGGTTCACTCTGTGTTAAGTCCGCCAAATGGACATAGAATTTTACTGTGCTTTAAAGTTTAAATAAATAAATAATTCAATTGGTAGTAACTTACAGTCAACATAGTGTACATAATATCCTCTCTTTCCACGTATTTCTTTGATGCTAATAATTTCTGCTAAAGGCCAGTCATCACCTCCTTGCATTCGAACTGGTAAACGACATCCTTCCACTAATGATGCCTGATAAACAAGGTAGTGATACGGATTAAATATATACACCTTGCAACTGCAACAGATCAAATTATAACAAAAATATATTTGATAAATACCGCTGAATCACAAAATGTTGTAAGATCGTCTTCAGTCTCATTCATTTTAACAATAAAATTAAATTATAAAAATGCAGCATTTAATACAAAAACTATTCAAATAGAATATCTATTTAACCTACTCTGTGCATGCACAGATACTCTCAATATATAATAATCTATGGCAAACACAGAACCTTGTTCTTAGTCAAATCCAAGATTTTGTAATTCCTTGTTCTGAGAATCAATTTCTCAGTATATACCATAAAGCAATTTCTTTTAAAGAGTTTTACACCTAAGAACAAGAAATTACATGTTATACGGCCGTATAACCCTACCAAATTCAGATACGACCTGCTTGCATATTTTCTACATAAACTGTGTAGAATATATAATCTAGTAATATAAAATTTGTCATCGACAAATAATTGATATCAAATAATTTAACACACTATCCTGTTAGAAATTGAGAAAAATAGCAACTGTTGATGTATCTTTTGTCCTCTTTTTACTAATTATATTTGCATAAGAAGAAAGGAGACAGTCATATAATGTACAGTTTTTATTCTATCAGTCCTTCTATGTAATTCCTTATTCTTAGATTTATACGTTGATATTAAAAAAATAAAGTTTATTAAGCTTAACCTTAAAATAAAATCATTAAATGCAAAACTTTAGATATTACTGAATGTAATAATTTTTATGCTTTCTGAAAGCGTGAAAGAAAATTTAGTAGAAAATATTCTCAAATTATATTTAACAATAATTTAGGTAAAAATGACTACTCCAGGCGAGATGAGTGAAGCTGATCAAATCAAAACTGTAAGATATTTTTTAACCGCACCTTGAATTAAGAGTAAATTTTTGTACATTTATTGTAAACTTGTTTAGTTATAATAAGGGATTCATAGATGTTGCTTGATTGACAGAAAAATGTAATCTCTTTCTAAAAATCTAAAAAATTGTTTATTCAATTATAATTAAAATTTCTTAAACTATTGCACAAAATTATTATTATGAAACATACATGATGCTTTGTTAACGTGTCACTGGCAGTAACAAATAAGATCATGTTTTTATTGTAATACTAGCTGACTCGGCAAACGTTGTTTTACCATATACATTATTTCGAGAACTATACATGAATTTTCTCGTACTACAATTATTATATTCGATTGCCATCTTTCAGTCCTATTGCGGCACATGAAAGTCGCGATTAAAAAACAGGGGTTGATCGTAAAAGCGTGAAAATTAAATTTGTATGTATTTTTCAATGCTAAATCATAATAAAATAAAAATAAAAAAATTTGTCAAAACAAATATTTAGGGGTGGGTCACCCTTATCATTGAGGGGTATGAAAAATAGATGTTGGCTGAGTCTCAGACCTACCCAATATGCACACAAAATTTCATAAAAATCGGTAAAGCCGTTTCGGAGGAGTTTGGTAACAAATACTGCAATATGAGAATTTTATATATTAGATATTCTTCTTACTTCTGTTTAAATTTAAGAAAAGAAATAATAAGATCATAACTGTGTTTAGTCAGGCTGAGCTTATATAGATAATGACATATAATTCTATTTTTTTTTCAGTTCAAAGATTTTCTTACACAGTACAACAAGTTATCGGAGTTATGTTTCAATGATTGTGTACACGATTTCACTTCTAGAAAACTGAGATCTTCAGAGGTAAAATATTGCTTATATTAAGTGAATAATGTAAATTTCTTAATGAATTATACTATCTTTAAATTGAAATATTAATGATCTAGTAGCTGTTTTGCCTGCTTGAATTAATACGTATATCTTGTATAAGATATTCTGACTTAACACTAAATTTAATTTAAATTTATTCGACTGACATAATATTAGATAATAATAATGTATTTTTACTACCTATCCCCCAGCCTGAATTGTGTCATTTAGATTTTTTGTAATCTTAACCATTAATTTATATCTATATAAAATATATTTATTAATATATTTACTATATGTTAATCATTATATACATAATTATTATATATTAATTAATACCCATGGAATTATTTCCAGATTTTCCTAACTAGGGCATACATTATAGATTTTTTATTTTACTTTTTTTTTTTAATATGGATGTTTTTGCTTTTATTCTTCAAGTTTCTTCAAGTACCCATGAATTTGTTAGTTGAAAGTTAAGTTTATTAACATCTATATTTTATAGTTCACTTTATCCTAAATAATGACCACACCTCAACAGTTAGAGCTGTCTTTCAATGCTTACCAATTATGGACAGAATTGATTAAAACATATTGTTATGTAGTTGTGGGATTTATCTTTCTGACAGTGTAAGAAATAATTTTATAATAAAATAGAAGTTATATATTCTCATGCATAGTTTCTTTATATAGTTGAAGAATGCACATATTTTTTGTTATATATTTACCCCAAATTTACTCATGTTTAATCAAAACATGAAATATTATTAAACTGACATCAATAATTATTTTCTTTTTCAGGATAAATGTACTGTGAACTGTATGGAGAAATATTTGAGAACAAATCAGAGGGTATCACAGAGGTTCCACGAATTCCAAATGATAGCTAATGAAAATATGTTAGCTTTGGCACAAAAATCACCCAATTGAAGTTAAGTTTATGTATGTTGTTAAAATAGGTTACACATATTGTTAGTTGTTTATTAGCCATAGCCTGGCAATAAAATTTTTGTTCATTAGACTTGTATTTTCTATAAATATATCTCACTAATACTATTTTAAAAACTGGAGGGTATAACCCATATAATATAAAAGAAAATAGTAATTTTCTTATGAAGAAATTGTGAAAAAAAAAATCAAAATTAATATTACAGTTATGTACAATAATTATTTATTGGGAGCAAGAATCAATAATATATTTAATATGATTCTTTTACTACTAATGCTAAATTAAAAAATGCTGTCTTTACAAAAGTATATAATATGTAATGAGGACAGGGGGACTTAAGTAGGTTGTATCCATTCCCTTCCTTTAAAGATGGTTTGGATTCCATAAAACCTAGTATTGTGTATATGTATATCTAGTTAATATACATGTTGTACTTGCAGATCTTGTAAAATATTTAAAATAGTGGTGTAATGCCTAGTGGGTAGATAGGGTACATTTTTTTTAACTGTTATTTATTTCATGCCTAAAAAAGAATGCTTATCATTGTAACTTACAATTACAATGTATAATTTGGATTACACTTTGTACTATAATGATTGACTTGGTACTATAACAAACTGATGTATGTAAAGTAATGAAAAACTCAATATTATACAAGTAAAAAATCATATTTTGATTTTCTATTTTATGTGTATATATATGATTTATGTCCATAATAATAACTAGCATAGGACAGATAAAGGAAAAACTAAGTGTCATGCTATTAGGAAGGTCAAAGGTATCGCCTGATATAGAATGTGGCTGGAAGAGAATGTGTGAATTAGCTTGCCGAGGTTTTCCCGAGAGACTACAGAAACTTCAAAAGTGAGAAAGAAGCTTCTTCAGTTATATCAAGCGCGTAAAGGATACCTATTCCTAAAACACCGTTGCTTGTTTGCCTGAAAAAAAAAAATCACCATAAGGAAAGAAAATCGTTTAGAGTTCCTTATATGATAGTTGAATTCAAGCAATCCAATTATTATACAAAGAACTATCTTTCACACTGTTATATATTTATTTATTTAAACCTTCACACTTTTTTCGATTTGAAATTATTTTTTACTGTGCAATACGACCTAAACGTTGCTACAGACAAGGTTAAAAGATAACAGCAGTATCATTTAAATAGTTTTATTAATTACTTGTCGAGTTTTATTTAATTATCGTCACATTTTTTTGGTTTCACTTGTTGTTTTATAAATGCAATGGTTCATTATTTTATCTTACAATGAAAGACGGTACTATTACTTTATAGGCCAGCTATGCTCCGTTCAACATAGCATACACATGATGCTCTTCTTTGGGCAAGGTTTGTAGCATCTTTGTTCTGGTGGCGAAAAATCTAAAACGAAAGACGATTGAGAACTTGTGTAGTCAAAGTGATAGTCGTTAAATTTGGCTTCCACACTGAATTTTGCGTTTGTGTCCGTGCTGTTATTATCGTCGGTATTTAGAACATATTTTAAGGGGTAAGGTCCTGAAGGCGCGTTGCTTATATTTGACGGTTTTGTACATATGCTATATTGACCGCCGTGTCGGATGATTCTTATGAGCGGTTGTCCACAAACCGGTGGTTTGCAACAGGAAGGTGAAGGTGGACAGACGGCTATGCATTTTGATGGTGAATAGCAAGGTTTGGAGCATGGTGGGCGTGAATAGCTAGATGGACAGGGGGTGCATTCACCAGCTTTCATGCAATTGTGCCTTTCGATTTTTCTTAATACTGAACAGGAAATGTGTCCTGGACGCCATCCGCATCGCAACTGTGAACGATATTTTTTTTAAATTAGACGGTGTCAATAACTGTCTTAGGATTTTAACGGTAATAGAAGTACAATATGATAATCTATTAATAATTATACAATTAATACTATGTGTATAATAATATAATCATATTGTAGTAAGTTCCCAGCCCCTTCCTTTTCTGGGGGTGTCGTAAGAAGCGACTAAGGGAGCTTAATGGTCAGCGGTTGGGCAGCATCGTCTTTCTTAAAACATCACCAAAAGTCAAATTGCGGTTGCCAATTCGCCTGTTAAGTAGCAACTAATGACAAAGACCCACATACTGGGAGGCCTGTGTTCAACAGTGATCAGGTAACGGCTGATTGATGATGATGATTGTAGCAGGTACATTAATTTTTTAATGTCAATTTTCATGATGGTTTCTGGAGAATTCATCATCTCAGCCATTATCTGTTCACTGCTGAACATAGGTCTCTCTCATGGTCGGCCATAAAGAACAGTCCTAAATCACCTGCATCCACTGACTCCCTGCATAGAATTTGAGTCCATCTAGTGGGGCGGTTTCCTATACGGCCAAATGCCCGTACGGAGTCGCCATTCAAGAACCTTTGTTCCCCATCAATTGTCGGTTCTAGCTACGTAACGAGCTATGTAACCAGCCCATTACCACTTACGCTTGTTTATCCTTCTTCGGGTTATGTAGGTGATTTTGGGATTTTTGTGGATATTATTTCGAATTCTGTCACGCAAAGAAACTTCGAGCATATTACTTTTTTTGGAGAATAGATAGAGATTTATTAATATTAGAATTTCTCAGTTTTTTAGTCATCCAATGTGCGTCAGCATTATTCATATTCTCATTACTTAAAGTGTAGAAACAAGATAACAAGTATTTTATATCTCTAACTCATACCTGGTGTTCAGGAGCATCTTTGGCTGTATACAACCATCCCATGTGTTTGGGGACTGGACCAGGTTTTACCTCTTCTTTGTGTAGACATCTATGTTTAGGTAAATCGCAGCGTTCTAAGCAGCTTGCCGATGATTTGTTTGCTACAGAAATAAAACAATATATTTATCCACAACAGATGATACTAGATAATACACAGCTTACTATGCCTATTGATATGCAACTTTTAGTTATTCGTCTAAATAACAAATTAATAAATTTGTTGCAATAGATTTTGCATAATATCGGAACAAGTATAAGACACATATAAAAATGATTGTTTTGGCTTCTGTTGTTCCTATTGTACCCATCATAGCCCCTCATTTATTTTTTTAAATATCTCCTATATGTACTAACATCACATATGTCTAGATTTTTTTTTGATGGGTGAAAATGGTATGGTAACCCCGCCTGCGCTAACAATCTTGGTATACAGAATGAAAACAGGCCAATTAGTCATCATGATTTCATCAGGGTAGGCAAACCACGAAAAAATTCTCAGTCTCCATTACTAACAATCCCTTTCCGCCCCTCCTATTACGGTAGGCAAAAAATAAGAAAAATCTTATTATGTTAGTAGGATAATAACTACTTACTATTTCTAATTTAGTTACCATATTTTTATAGTACTTACATCGACCAGGTTTACAGCTACATGCCATTTTTAAACAGCCAACCTTTAAAATTAATAAATATATGTATAACTATTTTTAATGTGACAATCACAAGAAAACTAATTATTTAATTCTTAAAATTCAGATTAGGCTGGTGATTTAAGTACTGATTTCTACATCTTGTGCCCTATTATTGAAACGTTTAAACAATTAGAATTTGAACAACAAAAAAAGCCAGATTTCAATCGTGGTAAAACCAATTAGTTTTTATTCAAAAACTAACTACTGAACAGACTTATGAAATTTTTATGAGAGCAATCTGAAAGTATATCCTTTCAAATAAAAAAAGAATTTTCCATATCGGTTTATAAATGATGGTGTTATGAGGTAACAAATATATAAAAAAAAAATCCTAAACCTATCTTATCCTTTTTTGAAACTTTTTGTTGAATATATTCTTTTTTGAAACTTTTTGTTGATAATATTCTCATTTTTTTAACAATTTTGAAAACAAGTAAATTCTTTATTCGTATTTTTTTATATCATAGATATAAGACGTGATAATATGACCGATTTTCTTAATAATTGTACAATTATAGCTGCTGTTGTTCTGTACAAAATTTTTGCTTTTGTAAAGGAAAATTTACTAAGTGAACATAATTTCGCATTCTAAATTGAAACATTTAACAAATATCAAATTTAAATATCGTTCCATTCGTTTGTTTAAAGTATATTCACGATTGAAGCTTGTACCAGATATCAGGTGTATTACAGGTGTATAGATATTGTGATTGAAGTCGCTTTTTTGCGGCTTAGCGGTCTACAGTCCGACGGCTTAGTCATCTTCTAGTCCGATTATTATATAATCTTCAAGGTTAAGCAAAAACCTGCTATAAAAAAGTGCCTATGGCATGTTTTCGATTCCTCTGTTATCTGTAAGTTTTATTAAAATAGATACTAGGCATACAATTTTAGCCAACATGGTTTTCGTTATTTATAACTTTTACTAATATTATAGTATAAGAAATAATCTTACTAATGTACAAAAGGTAAAAAAGAGATCGCTGTTTTGTTATGTATTTTTAGTTTAGATGTTAACAATTGTCGTCTGGAATTAATAGCTTTTCCAATCATGGATGTTTTAAGTTTCAATTACAAGCTGACTTATGGATAACTAATTGAAATTGTACCAAACAGCTTCAATCGATTTCAATCTAAAACTGTTAGTAACCGAGTAATATAATACAGTCGTTATCGGTGATCGGCGGTGATGTTTAGATAGCTCTACTTTTTCACTTTCACATTTATAATTTTATTTAGAAAATAAGCTTAGTTACGTAGTGGTTTTAGTTCACCTTTTTACTCTCGACTGTCATTTTAGTTAAGTTACCCTGTCAACGACTCGTGTCATTGACAGGGTAACTTATATAAATATATAAAACTTATATAATTATATAAAACGTAAATCATACATACCTTTGCAAAAAAGCTACGGACGGAAGCAACTACATTTTTACCCTTGTCATGTTACTTCATAAATGTTCCCCATTGGTAATAGTATTTTTAATTTAGATAGAGGCCATAGGTGTAGGTATAATGTAGGATTTGATTATTAAAAAAAAAAACGATACTTATACTTTTGAGCTACATGACAACTGTGAAAGTTATCTAATAATCAAGTGATATGACGTTCTTAATATTTATAAATAGAATCTCACTATTTTTTTACAGTCCTGTAATTCTTCTTATTTTTTATTAATGAAATTTTTTTCGACTCTATTAGAAACTTTCTTGCCAGTGTTTTGATTTTTTTTTAATTATTATTAAGCTACTTAGTCTTAAATTTTAGTTTCTCAGGCTTGTAAGATATTCCGTTGATCTATAAAATACGAATAGTACTTTGGAGTTCGTATTGTATAGTATCGTTTTTGAGTAAAAGTTTTTACAGTATAATTGCTAGTATGTCAGCTGTCATCTGCACCATGCTACATAACCGACGTTACGCTGCTTATTGTAGATTAGAAGAAGATATTGTTAGTAACGAGTACTAGGGGTTACATTGCTATATACCGTCAGAGTGACCCCCACATTGTCCACCTTGGAAATCATTGTGGTTAATTACTAGTGACTAATTGACATTACCATGTTCACCTATTATCACTCATTGATGGATATCAGTTTATACTAACAGGAGGGGGAAGGTTTGTTAGTAAAGGTGTCTAACGAGCCGTCTAAGGGGTCTACGCGAGGTGTGACGTTACGCTCCTCTGATTGGTGTTCAATGTCACGTGATTAAATGTCCAATTTTGCACATTTTATTTTTCGTAAATATTGGTAATCTTTATTTATTTTAATGATAAAAGTGGTTTTTTGGTTACTACATAACATGATTAATTATTAGAAACCCTATGCAGCCGATTTATTCTTAGTGGAAACAAGCCTATTGCCTTTGGTGTTGTGGATGCTCATGGGCGGTGGTAGTCACTTACCATCAGATGAGCCGCATACTCATCGCTCGTAGGATACACACGCATCGTAACGTAAGTAAAATTGTAAAGAATTGACGTAAGTAAACTCTTATGTACAACTATTTCAATGGGATGTCGCGTCTTGACCGTCTTTTGTCTACCCAAGTCGCTGTAGTTAGGGTACTATATATTTCAGGGGGAAAAGGGATTGTTAGTAATGCAGGCTAAGAATTCCATTGCTAGCAATATACCCAGCCAGGTCGACCTCCTCGCGGTTCCCCCTGGAAACTATCATGATTAATTCCTGATGAATTCATCATGATGGGCTAACTGGCCTGTTTTCATCCTCATCGATCACCCTTCACTGGTGCCCCGCTAGCTATCCCATTAGCGCAGGCGGGGTTACCACTCCATTTTCATCCAATAAAAAAAAACTATATATTTCAGTTTTGAGATTCACATGGATTCTGTATCTATGGTTTTAGTATAAAGAGCTACAAGAAGTATATAGGTAAATATGAGAATGTGATTTGTGTGTGGGTGTATATTGGTTGCTTGACGTATATTCATAACCTATGAGTGCGTGTAGGCATACGCGCTGTATTTTAGAAATTGTCTGCAAAGGCAGATCATCATACATTTCTTTATGTAAATAGCTGTTTAATTTCAACAGATGTTTTTATTATACAATAGAAGACGCATAATAGTTCTACATATATTAAATATGTATTTAAATAAATAGTAAGGCTGTACGGTCTTATTTTCAACGACATTGGTTTATTTCGTCGATGGTAAAGATCATGCCATTCTAAATTGCGTAAAAACAACTACCAAAATAAGAATACTATTTAATTTTTCTTAGTTTTTTTCTTTCCAGCAACAGCTGTCTTCCTTCTACAGCAAATTGATCCTATAAATCTGAATGAACCGACTATTAATACGAAAATTGATAATATTACAAATAAGATGTCTAAATTAAGGTATTGATATAGAGGAACATCGGCAGCTGCTGTCCTGAAGGTGAAGTTTGCATTACGAGCAACGTATTCTGTCCAAAACACAGCTGTGTCTAATGCCGACATAGGACGGTCGTGCCAGGCTCTTGAAAGTTCTTTAACTTTTTTGTAAAATCTGTAACATAATAGTTTAAACCCTCATTAAATTAAATTTTAAGAAGAAACAGTAGTAAAAGTTTTACGGCTAATTTGATATGCTTCTGAGTTCCTTGCCCATTCTTCTTAGCTGAAAAGAAAAACTCATCTGTCGCTGTTTCATCGAATTTTATAAATTTAAGAAATTGTGTGACACAACTTTATTATATTATAAATAGTATGAGATCATATAAACTAAGATATCATATATAAAATTAGAACTACGTTTCAGAATATATCAATTATAATACCTATTGACGAGTATAAAGATATAGATTTAGAGAGTCTGTTGCGTTGTATTACTTATAATATATGTAATAAAATAATTGTATTATATCTGTTTATTACTTAAGTTGCGATGAGTTAAACTTGACTACATAAGTACGTTATACTAAGTTTTTTTATACAACTTAGAATTGCAAACAAGCTGATGGCCCACCTGATGGAAAGTGGTAACCGTCGCCTATAGACATGAGTAGTACCATGGATATAACAGAGTTTCCATTCCTGAGGACTCGGGTGTTATTCCTCTGTACTTTGTAAATTCACGCCATAGCCCACTCTTCAAACCGAAACACAGCCATGCAAACACAACTGCTTTACAACCGTAAAGCAGTTGTGTTTTTCAACCGAAACACGAACGGGACAGAGGTACACAAGTAAACAACTTTGTAAGTCTATGGTAAAACTACCTACTACATCGAATATAATACAATATTGTAGACAGTGCATCTATTATTACTCCACGCTGTGACTTCAATAATCACAAATTGTAAGCACCTGAAGTTGTGGGTATAATCTAGTTAGATTATAACTTATATTTATTGAATACATATTTCTTGTAACAAAGTTGCTTCATAGCCTCAAATAATGTTATCTTCTTAGTCACTTTCAATAATTATTAGTTTTTAAGTATATCTATTTACACAAAGTCAAATACTTACGCAGGATCTAATACTTTTTTGAAGGCAGCCAGTAAATTATCCTTAGTAAGATCTCTAACATGTAGTTGTACTCCAAAGCCACTTTCTTCTATTGAGGCCGCATTGGCTGGTTGGTCACCAAGTATTGGCATTGCGACTATCGGTACGCCATAATGGAGAGCCTCAGTGGTTCCTCCCATACCAGCGTGAGAGAAAAATGCAACGGTTTTTGGATGTGCTACAGAAGAGAAAATGTCTTGTTAACTTTTTTGGTGTGAAGATTATTTTGTGCAATGATCTGAAGTACAAAACTCAAAGAGGAAGAAGTAAATATAAATGTCGAACAAATGTTTAAAATACATATAAGTTCATAAAATTCATGTTGTCCTTAAACCTTAGAAATAAAGTTTTAATAATTAAAGATTGTGCCCCACAAAAAACCGACTTCAATTATGGCAAAAAAAAGTTACTCGTATTTTGATTTAAAAACTAAACTACTGCAACGATTTCAATAAAATTTCTACGCGACCAATTTGTAAGTATATGTTATACAAAAAAAAGTATATAAAAAAGAATTTTCCAAATTGTTTTACAACTGATGGAGTTATGAGGTAACAAACCTAAAAAAATACAACCAAATTAAGAACTTCTTTTTTTTTGAAGTTGGTTAGAAATAAGGAATAAGGACACATTTGCTTCAATGATAATATAGTAAAAGCTACGTTACGCAGTCCTGGATTCGACTCGTGCTTATCCGGTTATTTTGAAAATAAATATATTTTTTAATCTTACTTACCTAAAATATCAACTTGAGGCAACCATTTTGCTACGTATAGTTTGTCTTTATCGGCTAATACTGTTTTACTTTCCCATTTCCAAATAAATCTTTGGGGTAGTTCATTAACAGCCCCGATTACAGCTTTGATTTGTTCTTCAGTCATTGATGAGCTTTTTACAACGGAACCAAAATTAATATATATGACGCCATGTTTAGCTTCTTCTATGAATTTTTTTAAATCCTGTAATTTATTTATTTAACATTTTATTGTACTTTACATATATAAAAATAGATAATGATAAGTTAGAAATTATAACACAGTGGAAAAGAGTACAGCATTATAGATTTAGGTATATAAGGGGTAGGTACAAAAGGCAGTTTTATCGTAAGGGTTATAGGTACGCTTTTTTAGATAGCCTTTAATAATAATGATTTAAATCAGAACAGATTTTTGATTAGAGATTTCGATAGGCAATGCTTTTGCCTATATAAGTACTTATGATTTATTAAGAAATCATAAATCATTGATAACAGACGTTTAATGGCATTGAAAGTGTATAATATCTTATTGATATTTATTATACTGCGTCATATAGTCATGTAATATGTTTGTGTGTAAGGGATTTAACTTTATATGTCTGCGTTAAAGTATAAAAAATCCAATGTAAACCATTAGCATTGGTATTTTCTAATATCCTATATTAAAAAAAGTATGTGTGTAAACATTTTTCTTCTTTATTACATGAATCTTTTAATACGGGTAGGATAGTCGTATTGATTAATAATGAGTGCCATATAAGTTAGGAGATACCAAGCATTGAACACGTGGGGACACGACCCAGAACACTTTAGGTGTTAAAGTCAATATAGAAAAGTTCATTTCCTAAATTGAACCGATCGAGAATCGAACCCGGAGCTTCATTTACGTAAATGTAGCCCTGCGGATGTTGTCAAATCATTAAAATGATAAATATTTGTAATCATTAAAATTGATAACATGCTAAAGTAATTACGGTCAGAACAATATTAGGTATTGTATTCAATATGAAACTATGATATAAACCACGAGGAACATTTTAATATAAATATATAATTGTACTCTATGCCATACATGTCATAAGACACTTACGTACTAAGTACGTAGTAAAAACAGATACACATTTGCGAGTCGTGGTGCGTGTTTAGTTTATATTTATTGGGTCATTATTATCTAAAACAATGTATTAGAATATTACAGTCTAATTGAACGTCAGTATTCATTCTGTTTACTATTTTTTTTTTACAACACGGGGTAAACGAGCATGCGGCTCACCTGATGGTAAGTGACTACCGCCGCCCATGATCACCCACAACACCAGCGGCATTGCAGATGTGCTGCCGGCCTTTTAAAAAGGAATGAAGATATAAGCCGGATTTTTTTTAAATTTTTGTAGATATATACAAATTGCGCGGTCACATGGTCAATTCAAGTAGTTTGAATTATTTTCTAATTTCAGTAGTGCTTTTTTTTATACAACTTAGAATGGCAAACAAGCTGACGGCCCACCTGATCGAAAGTGGTAACCGTCGCCTATAGGCATGAGCAATACCATGGACATAACAGAGTATACTGCTTCGCCCATGATACCCCCCATGCGTTGCCATTCCTGAGGATTCAGGTGTTATTCCTCTCTAAAAATGTTTAGTTTCAAAATTCAATATGTATTTCGAGTTGATTGGATTTATATCAGCCATTAAGTATTCACTGCTGAACATAGGTCGCCCCCATAAGGAGGATTTTGCCAGTAGCTGCCACGTTTTGTGGGCGTAATGGCAACCGCAGTTAGGTTTTGGTGATGTTTAAAGAGGGACGCTGCTTATCCCTCGACCATTAAGTTCCTTTAGTCGCTTCTTACAACATCCAAGGGTAAGGAAGTGGTAGCCCATCCTATGTCAGGACCACACGGCGATATGTTGTATTAGTACTTTTTAATTTTTGAACTTAGGTAAGTACTAAGTAATATACTTATGTACCAATTAACATTCATACCTGTGGTAGTGGTTTCGCTTTGGGGACATGATATCCACCTACTTCAATTACATTCGATGGATATAATCTTGAGCCCGTCAGGATTTGATAATGACCTAAGAGTAGATACTTAATCTCACGTGCCAAATCTTCTAGTGGTGGAATGTCATCAAAATACTTAGCAAGCGTATTTTGATTACTTCTTTGTGTATAAAATTTGTAGAGTAACTTAAACCAAAGGTCGAAGACAGCAACTTCTACTCTCTGCAATAACGAAGGCCTCGAACCTCCTTCCGTGAAATGAAAAGGCACATAAGAGGGATTGAATGGAATCCCGAATCTTTGGTAGTGCCAAGGCATAAGCACGTGACTGGTTGTACCGACAACAGAAGCTTTTAATTTATATGCTATTCCGAGACCGCAATCACTGACAAATTGTTCCATCACAACCACATCGAATTTGGGCTTGTCTTTGATCAATCTCTGTACTTGTTCATTTGCTAACAACGTTTCACAATTTTCTACACCCCTGCTCGTTAGATAGTAACTAATGCCGAATAGATACAAATATGATCTGTCCACCACTGGGGTACTGTCTTCAATCGGTTTCACATTCTGATCCAGACTTATATCATGGTAATTACTGCGGGGCTGTTTCTCCGGGAAGTACGATATAACGGTAACATTGTGACCTCTATTCGCCAATTCTTCCAAAAATACTTTAAAAACAATAAAGTGGCTTTTACCTTGGTACGGAAATATAGCCAAAATATTATATGCACTAGTTGTTAGCGTTTGAACGAGTATAAAGATCGCGAAGGTTACAAGATTAAGCTTCATTATTTTAGAGGCCGTTAACACCGCTCGAGATCGAGCCGTCCACGTTCTTACAGAACACGGCAATGACTGGTGTCAGCTGCGTGCGCGTGCTTATTCTATGTAATTGCGTATAGACGCGATAAAATAACGTTCATGAATGATGAGTCTTCCTGTTCGATTTTGTTGTACTTTTCGTATTTGCAATGGACAAAAAAATATATATGTAATTTTCAAATAAATATTTCATAAGCAAGCGAATGCGCTTACGACTAAGATTTCTAGTAGTTAATGCATTTGTTGAATGTTAGTGTTGTAGTAAATGTAATACATTAACCCAATGATATAAATGTAACACGGCAGGAGCGAGCCTACTTTTATTTCTTGTAATTTTCAACCGACTTCAAAAAGAAGGAGTTTCTCAATTTGGTTGTATCGTTTTTAATGTTTATTATCTCATAATTATGCCAGTTCCAAAACGATGGTCGAGAAAGCCCGATTAATTTTGGGACCATTCGGAAAATATATTACAATTAATCAGTAATTTAAACAGATACACCGATTTTCAATATTCGCCAGATTTGAATATATAAAATAGATTGAAATCAGGGTACTAGGCTATGCCACTGTTACCTTTTTCAAAAGTGTGTAAAGTAGATTGATAATTTATCTTTTATTTGATTTCTATCGTACAAAGTTTAAACATGCTATATAAAATTCTAAAGACCTTTAAAATGATATAATGCATGCAGCAGTGATGATGCGAAATTTTATGTCTATAATCTATAAAAAAAAATTATATATCATGGTAGAGCGATAATCGTACTTATCTTATCTTTATTTATATTACAATAAAGGTGAAGATCAGCTTGTCTGTACATTGTACTTACAAAAAAAAATATTAGCCATAAATAATTGTAATTTAAAAGAAAACAGATACAATAAACTGTTTCAAGTCAAAGTGCTAGAATTTAACATTTCGATGTTAATCCTTTAATAGATTTTTTTTTATTATATCAGCTGTTCACTCTCCACTGTGGAATATAGCACTTGACCATAAAAAGGGTTTTGCCAATAGTTAGCTCGCCAAACGGGTTGACAACTGCAGTTAGGCTATGGTGATGTTTTAAGAGGAACGCTACTGTTCTTTATTCAACCCTAACCTAAGTTCCCTTAGTCGTCTCTTGAAACACTCACGGGAATGAAAGGGATTACCTATTTTATACTGGGGTTACGTTAATACGACGCTAATAATTGCATTAGTAAGAAAATCAACTTCATTGCTTTAGGTTTTATAAAGGCGCTTTCGCTCGACCTATTGCTGGCCGATTATAATTATAATTACAGGCACAGATAGTAATAAATGCTAGATAGAGGATGTTTATTTATAAATTGTGTCAGTAATAAATTATCATTCTATCTTTTTGTTGATCCTTCTGCTATAAATTCTTTTAAAAATGCTATTTGTAGTGTTGCTTTTGTTAATTCAGTATATTTTTTTGCAATAAATTTCATGTAGGTACTTTAAGTCTGGCTATTATAGTAGACATTTACCGTATGATCCTGGTATATATTAGGCTACACCTTCCTTTCCCGTGGGTGTTACGATACCCAGTCGACTCTATCTAGTCAGTCAGTCGATCGAGCAGTGGATAGTTAACGACTAAAATAATATTAATAAAAAATTATAACAGGAGTCGATTAGAAATGATTCCATTTTTGGCTTAATAGAACATGAGCTATTATAATTATTTACAAGTCGTGGAATACGGCAGTGAATTTACAGTGTTTAGAGGAGGAGGTATTATGGATGAAATAGTATACTCTGTTATGTCCATGGTACTGCTCATGTCTATAGGCTACGATTATCACTTTCCATCAGGTGGACCGTCAGCTTGTTTGCACGTTATTTGTTGCATTATGTAACATGTTTTATTAAGCTAAAACTTGACGACGTGGGAAGTAAATGCAGCTGCGATATCTATATAAATTTATATCAGTACTAAGGTTTCGGTCCTTAATAGGGAATAAAAATTTTTATAGCGGATGAAATTCTCACAGGCAATATAAGTTCTTGGTAAGGAATACATTAAACATTTTTTTTTATATTATTTTAAGGGCTTTTACCTTAAAAACAATTAAAAATAAAGCTTACGAAAAACTAACTTGCAAATTATTTATTTACAATATATAAATTATCTATTCTTATTATTAACAGCTACTACTTAATGCTTTTTAGATTTACTTTTTTGGAGTTTACTTGTATTTCTTTTAAACACATTTATGACTGATCTGATAACATAAACTGATATTAGCACAATCAAAATGATTACGGCTAATACATCCAAACCGAAGTATTGATAAGAAGGCACATCTGCAGCGGCAGCTCTGAAGGTTAAATTCCCATTGCGCGCCGCAAATTCCGTCCAGAAAATAGCTGTATCCATTGGTGACATGGGACGGTCGTGCCACAATTTTGACAGTCGTTTTACGTTCTCTCTGAATCTGAAACAGAAATGTTTCTTTTTAACAAGTGTATATGTCCTTTGGTCTTTTTAGTTACTAGATATCATGCACAAATTGACTCAGTGCAACGACGTGCTATGAGTATTGTTGATGATCTCAAGCTCATAAGCGGCATTGAACCCTTAAGTCATAGGAGATAGTTTACCTCTCTCTGCATCTTTTACCGCTTGTACAATGGACTGTACTCAGAGGAATTGTTTAACATGATTTCCATGGCCACTTTCTATCGTCGTACAGCTTGCCACCGATAGGGAACATAAAACTGAATATAAAGTTTTGTCGTATTATGTTGTGTATATGTTACTTGATATCTTTGTCAATTCTAAATCGATTTTAATAAAGGCTTTTTGCAGTCTGTGACACATAAATTTTATTGCATTTATGAGTAATATTGTTGTTTTATTTTACACAGTACAATCTAAGGTCACGTTTTTCAGGCATTTCTCCTTGACTAATTATCGAGTAATGTTAAAAGTCATGTTTTGAAAGTATGGCACTATCTGTTAATTACGAGTAGGTATTCTAATAGCAATCATACAATTCGTAAATTAGAGTTAATTATATTTTGTGTGTAGAATCTTATGGAATTGGTAACTTAATAACCGTTTTAGGTTTGCCTAATAGCAAGGATGGTAAAGTATTGAATGAAATATAAACTTACTTAGGATTTAATACCGTCTTGAATTTTTCTAATAGGGTTTCTGCGGTTAAATCATTGAACCGTACTTGTACTCCAAGTCCACTTTCTTCAATCGCTGCTGCGTTTGCTGGTTGGTCTCCAAAAATTGGCATTCCAATCATAGGTACACCATGATGTATGGCCTCAGTTGTGCCCAGCAAGCCGCAGTGGGAATAGAACGCTAACACTTTCGGATGAGCTATGATAATAAAATATGGTTAATGAAAAAGTAATAAATCAGTCATTGTTATGTTTATTTCTTTACTATGATAAAGGAAATGAGTAAAAGAGTGAGACCGATTATTTATTCTTATAGCTCGGTTATGATGAAGAATAGAGATTATTGGAAAAGCAAGTAAGCAACAATGATGATGATGTTTAATTTATTTTCATATAAGTTACAGTAAACACTATAATTAAGGTATAGTTCGTACTAGTTATGTAGTTTCGGCATAGAATGGGTCACCCTTTCCTTTCTCGCGGGTGTCGTAAGAGACGACTAAGAGAATGTAATGGTTGGTCCCATAGAATTTTTATCAAAATCAGTTCAGTCGTATAATTTTTTTGGTTTTCTCACAATTGAAGTCGATTCTCTTTGTGGGACATAATCTTTAATTATTTTGCTTGGGAATGGTGATAAAGTTTCCATGGAAAATATTAAATATCATCTCTAACTTAGTAATGACGATCTTTGAACTATTCTATGGGTGTATGTATATTCATATACATATAGAATGCATATACATATGTTAATATCAAACGAACCTAGTATATCATTTTGGGGGAGCCAGTTTGAAAAGTAAATATTCTTTGTATTGCCCTCTGGAAAAGTTTTTTCTTCCCACTTCCATATGACTCTTTGCGGCAACTGAGATATCGCTTCAATAATAGCTCGAATTTTCTCTTTTGGTGTCGATGCACCTCTTATTAATGAACCAAAACTAATGTAAATTACTCCATGTTCAGATTCTTCTATAAACTTACGCAAATTCTGAAATAGTGAAATTATGCACAGGGTAAAGGATATTTCTATTTGGAGAATTATAGGTACAGATTTTAGATTTATCTTAGGTCTCATCTTTTTATTGCACTTTTACTTATGATCTATTAAAACACAAAAATTTGAACTTAAAACAAAACCTTAATCTTTTTATGAAACTTGGTACTTTGGTAAAAAATATGGTACAGTTTGTTTTAATTTTATTTATTTATCATTTACTTGAAACATTAGACACAAAAATTACATATAAAAAGCATAAGTACTCGTACATATTTCGCCGTACATAGGCCGTACATTATTATGTTATTTCAATACGTAAGTGTTAAAATAATCATTTATTTGATCAATTATACTCATCAACATTTTAACAATAATAATATACACAATATTGAATGTTTAATAGAAATGAGAAACGGTTGCCTATAGACATAACACCACGTATGCCATAGAATATTTTGTGATACTCATGATACCCTCATAAGTTGTCGTTGTTTAATTAATAAATAATAAATACTTACTTCAGGTAGAGTTTTAGGCTTAGCAACGTGAAATCCACCGACTTCTATAATATTGGAGGGAAATATGTGAGAACCCATCATAGCAAAATTCTGATAGATCAATAATAATTTAATATTCCGCCCTAGTTCTTCCAATGGCGGTATATCGTCGAAGTATTGTGCTAATGTATTTTCATCGATTCTCTGACAGAAGTATTTGTAAAGAAAATTAAAATAATAATGCGAAACTACTCTTTCAACTCTTTGATATAACGTTGGTTTGGTACCGCCTTCTAGAGCAATGAACGGCATATACGATGGATTATACCCAATACCGAATCGATTCATATGAAAAGGCATTATTTTGTGTGATGATATGCCAACCACTGGAGCGTTTAATTTGTAGGCTATCCCCAAGGAACAATCACTATTGAATTGCTCTGTCACCACAAGATCGAACTTCTTCTGTTGTTTCCATAAATTTTGTACATTTTCATTCGCCAGTACCATCTTACAGTCCGCTGTTCCATAAATCACCAATAATAAACTAATTTGGATAAAAGTCCAATATGATAAACGATGCGGGAGATCACCTTGTAATTCTTCATTCTTCTCTGTTAAGCTTATATCGTGGTAATTTTGGATGGGGACTTTTTGCGGGAAATGTGATACCACTGTCACGTCGTGGCCTCGTTTCGCTAACTCAAGCAAATAAGGTTGGAATACAAAAAAGTGACTTTTGCCCTGATGCGGAAATAGGCCTAATATTTTTAACGTGTGAACTTCATTGTAATTTACGAGCGCTTGTAACACAAAAATTAAACACACAATTCTTGTCATTTTATTCAGATATCTTTTACGACTAGTTATTTGATTGTGAGGTTACGATATTTATATGTCACTGTTTAGATATAAATTATAAAAGTATACAGTCACGTTATTGGCGAGTCGTTATGCTTAATTTATATCTAAATTGGACTTTATATGTAGGTATTTACTGTCTACATCGTATTATCAAAATCTAACCTATATTTAATATTAATGCTATTTGTTTAATCTTACTCGGAGTTTATTGATAAAACCTTAAATAATATATTTGAAAATCCTTTCTATCATATGTTGAAGAACGACAAAAATTTTTGAGTCACTCACACTAACACGCTGCGTTCAGTCAATTATAAGACGAATCTTTTGTATGTATAATATATTTTTTTTATAATGGATGATAATGGAATGGTAATCCCTTCTGCGCTATTGGTAAATTCCGACACAGAGGTCGCGCATACATTCGAATCTTATTTTACTAATATTCCATTAATTACGACACAGGCTCTAAAATCTTCCCCGTCTGCTGCTGAAACTTTACTAACAGACAATGTTAGCAAGTCATCAGCTGTATTTAACTTTAGACATACATCATCAGTAGAAATAATGAAAATATTCAAACAACTTAATAATAAAAAAACAGAGGATCTATGGGGTATATCTGTTAAAATACTGGATAGTATAATGGAAATTATTGCGCCCTCTCTTGCTTTTATTTTCAATAAATGTATAGATGAAGGTAAATTTCCTAACATAATGAAAATTAGTAAAATCATACCGCTTTTTAAATCTGGAGATAGGAGTGACCCAATAAATTATAGACCTATATCCATACTCCCAGCACTCAGTAAAATTTTTGAAAAAATAATCCTTATGCAACTTGTCAGTTATTTCAATTTAAATAATTTAATCCACAATAGTCAATTCGGTTTTTCCAAAGGTCGTTCAACTACAGACGCAGGTGCAGAGTTGCTTAGACACGTATTTGCTGCATGGGAAACTAAAATGGATGTGATAGGTGTTTTTTGTGACCTTTCTAAGGCTTTTGATTGCGTTGATCATAATACATTGCTAAAAAAACTTGCTTTTTATGGCGTCAAAGACAATGCTTTAAATTTAATAAAATCTTATCTATCTGATAGAATACAGAAAGTGAAGATTAGCAACGCTACGTCTGACGGGTCACTTGTGCAAATGGGTGTACCTCAAGGATCTATTCTCGGTCCATTTTTATTCCTAGTTTACATTAATGATCTCCCATATGCCATGCAGGATAGATGCGGCATAGTATTGTTTGCAGACGATACTTCATTGATTTTTAAAGTTAATAGAATGACTAATAATTATGACGATGTAAATAGTGCTTTGCGGCGTCTCCTGCACTGGTTTACAACTAACAATCTTATGTTAAACGCTAAAAAAACAAAATGTGTTAATTTCTCTCTATCTAAAAGTTTTAATACTAATTGCAATATTAAATTAAATGACGAATCTCTCGAATTTATAGAATCTACTGTCTTTCTAGGAATCACACTAGATAATAAAACACAATGGGGTGCACAAATTCAAAGCCTTGCAGCGAAACTAAGTTCAGCAGCTTTTGCCGTGCGTAAAGTTAGACAGTACACTGATACTGATACTGCTAGATTAGTCTATTTTAGTTATTTTCATAGTTTACTCTCTTATGGAATATTACTATGGGGAAAAGCGGCAGATATTAAGAATATATTCATATTACAAAAACGTGCCGTTCGAGCGATCTACTGTATGAAGAGTCGTGACTCATTAAGAGAGAAATTCAAAGAGGCAAATATTCTCACCGTTGCTTCTCAATTTATATATTCAAATATTCTATATGTTCATAAAAATCTTGACTTATTTCCAAAAAACAGCAATATTCATAATATTAATACTAGATTTAAAGACAAACTTGCTGTCCCCAAGTATCGTTTAGAAAAAGTTAATAGGTCTTTTATGGGAATAGGTATAAAAATTTACAATAAGATACCAAAGGATATGTTGGAATTACCCTTAAATAAATTCAAAACATCTGTTAAATCATATTTACTGAGCAAAGCCTATTACTCACTAAACGATTACTTGAATGACGAGTGTGCATGGCAATAGTTGTTCATGCACTGAATTTTCATTTAATGTTAGACATAGACACCTATATAAATATACATTGTAAATAAACTGGCTTTAAAAAAAAAAGTAATTCAATTGAGTTTCTTGCCAGTTCTTCTCAATTGGATCTATATACCGAACTGGACGGTAGGGTAAATATAAAATTATAATGTAAAAATTTGACGTTCATAAGCGGCTAAAATGTCCTACATGAATAAATGATTTTTGAATTTTGAATTTTGAAATTTTGAATTTTGGTATACACCGGCGGGGCACCAGTGAAGGATGATAGGTGAGGATGAAGTAGGTCAATTAGCCCATCGTGACGAATTCAACAAGAATTGTTCACGATGGTTTCCAGGGGGAACCACGTGGAGGTCGACCTAATAGGCTATATTGCTAGCAATTGGGCTGTCAAACTCCATTACTAACAATCCCTTTCCCCCCTTTGTATGTACTAGTTATGAGTAAGTATCTAGCATGTGGTTTATGACATGATGTCTATGAATGGACATGTTAGTTGATTATATCATATTTCTTTTATTTTTATGTCTTTTTGACATTTTATTTTGTAAATTTATTAATATTAACATTTGCAATTTACTGATTTAGTAATTTAATTATTTTGTGGAATGAAATTAAAAATTGTTTTTGTATAATTTGCCTATTGACTGCCTATAGTGTTTTGCAGTAAGTTATAGGTATTATTGTATTATAATAATAATAATAAATAAATTGTTCAATTAGTATAGAATACTCAAAATTTATTTTGTAGCTTATAAATTTTTTATTACAAAATTTTTTTTGTAGTATGTTCACAGGCAAATTCTTAGTTTTTCATACAGCTAATGATTTTAATTTGTTTATATCTTTAATATGTAAAGCAGTAACAAATAGTCATTGGTTAAATATAACAGTAAACATATTGTAAATGAGCGTATATGAATACATAATAAAATGAGTTATTAAATTTTTTTTAATATTTTGTTAACGTAAGGTCTGTAGTACGATAAGCATAGTGGAGCTGGCGTATAAAAAAATACAAATAAACACATCATCATGACTTGACTTTAATTGTTAAGTATGATTATTTATAGTGTAACCATACTAATATCACCTAAGGACAACTTTGAATATCATAGTATAAAAGTATTTAAAAAAGTTTGGATTGAGCACTCGATTTACAGATAGATCATAGACATTATAAACTAAGACATACTAGGTTGTTATTATCTTTTTTGAGCAAATTAATGGAAAAGTTATGTGTTTAACAGAACAGTATTAGAAATGTGAAAATATGTAAAGACCGATCAATCATTTTTCAGATTGTCATTATGTTATATCTTATTTTCACAGCTAAAGCCGTGAAATAGGTAGGAAGGTAGTAAATTAAAATATAGATAAGAAATTACTTCCTTGAATGTACGTACGTATCATTATTTAAAAAAAATTGGTACGAAAAAAGATTTAAATAAAATGTACTATGAAATATGTTTTTGTATAATGTTGTTTTATAAAAAAAAAGTAATAAAATATTTAATTCATTATAATGTTAAACGTTAACAGTACTATATAATCTTAAGGAAAAATACCTATAATAAATGAACAAAGCTTGATCACAAATACAGTTAGGTATACAAGATTATTCCTTTTTAGACTTCCTATTCATAGCGTGACGTTTATTTCTTTTAAAAAAGGATAATAGGTATTTAATGAGAAAGGTGATTGTTAGTATGAATATAACGAATACAGACAATATATCAAGACACCAGTACTGATAATAGGGAACATTGGCAGCGGCAGCACTAAGGGTTATGTTTTTGTTGCGCGCCACAAATTCCGTCCAGAAAATAGCGGTGTCCATGGCGGAAATGGGACGGTCGTGCCACACCTTTGACAAACGTTTTACGTTTTCTCTGAATCTGAAAAATGTAAAATAAAGTTTATATTATATGTTGGTAATTAACTTATATTGGGGGAAAGAGATTATTACTCAATTATTAAAAAATAAACAACATACATTATGTCTGAAATTATGTATGAGTTTACAAAAAAATATTTATTGAGTATTAGTAGTATTGTAGATAATAATAATAAATTTATTTTACAATGTCAAGTTCATCCATAATATATTCACTCCTTAAAAACAAGTATATAATAGCGGGGAACTAGTGGAGGATGACAAAATGAAAATGAAGTCTTAGCTCAGGCCCTTTGTGGCAAATTCTTTAGCAATTAACCATGATGGTTTTTAGGGACACCGTGCGAAGGTCAACTTGACAATGAATATTGCTAGCTATAGATTATTCCCATGGCTAACAATTCGTCTTAGATATTAATAATAATTAGGTACTAAAGAAATTTTGTGAAAATATTGGCTGTTTATATGTTTGTAAACAATCAAGCTGTTGCTACTTATTATATGAAGAAGAACTTATTATATGCTATGCTAAAATTATGATGTCAAAAGATTTTAGATTGCTCTCATTTTACATGAAGGCCTCTGACGAGGTTTACCGGACGCTGACTTTGTATGCCCATCGCAGCACAAAACAAGAGACAATACCACACTACAATAACATAATTACGCTTACGCAACTGGATGGATTTAAATGAAATTTGGTACGCAGATAGATCATTTATTTATTTGTTTGTTTATTTTTTATTGACCACATTACAAAATTTTTGGTACTAAAGGTAGACTTAATATTAGATTAATACATAGAAGTACATATACTATACATATCAGTCACGCCTGTTATATATTGTGGTAAGCAGAATAAGTGGAATGCCAAATTCAAGATTCAGATAGACCTTTTTAATTTCCTCCACTGGTTACGGGTACTTTTGATCTGATCTTTCTTCAGTACATTCTCCTTCTAGTAACATCTCCATTTATTCGTGTTCGATATATTTTTTTTGTAATCCTTCTTTCATCCATCCTCTTTAAATAGCCAATATAGCAGATCTTTATAAAAATTTAAAACAATAATGAATTGGAAAAATACAGATAGCACTTACGTAGGATCTAATACTGCTTTAAATTTTGCCAATAGTTTCTCTTTACTAAGTTCATTGATTTGAATTTGATATCCTAGACCACTTTCTTCTACAGCAGCTGCATTTACTGGTTGATCACCGAAAATTGGCATTGCTACCATCGGTACACCATAATTTATAGCTTCTGTGGTACTCAACAACCCACAATGAGAATAGAACGCCATCACATTAGGGTGAGCTGAAATAATAAAAATACTGTCTGGAAAGTGTAATGGATTTGCTTTTAAATTGCAGCTACTCGACTCAGGTCTATTTCAATTACTTTTAACTACTGGTACTGGCTTTTAGGTGGACCGAAAGCATATTTGCCACCTCAATTACATAAAAAAAGGTTATAAAATTATATTAAGATATCTTTTTAAATAAATGGTGCTAGAAAGTCCTTATTATGTTATTAAAATAAATCTTTATATAAATATTTTTAAAAGAGTACAAAATTAATCAGTAACTTACTTGGCTATGGATATAAATCACATAGTACGATAATAATTAATGTGTTTCGAACAAACCTAGTACATCATTTTGTGGAATCCATTTGGATATGTAAATGTTTTTCGGATTGCCTGGAAGCGTTTGGTCCTCCCATTTCCATACAACTCTTTGGGGTAATAGCGATAAAGCATCAATAATAGCCTGAAGTTTATCTGTTGGCATCGTTACTGCCTTTAACATTGATCCGAAGCTAATGTAAACTATGCCATGTTCGGATTCTTCAATAAACTTTTTCAAATCCTGTAAAATTTTAGTTTTTATTATTATTAGCTTTTATCTCCTCTCATCCGCGTGACTGGGATATGCGTATTGACCAGGATAAAGAGTAGCTTTTATACTTCTTTATTTTAAACAATTACAAAAAATCATGACAGTTGGTTGGGTTGTTGAAGATCTAAGAAGTAACAAAGTTTTACTTACTTTCAAATTTTTTATTTGATTAAAAAGCGTTACGGCTAATGTAAAGCAAAACATTCCCATATGAGCTATCCTTTTATTAGCATAGGATGTTGTTTAAATAATTTAGCAATGCCATAAAACAGGAAGGTAGTATAGTAAGATTTGAAACAAATAAAAAAAACTCAATTTGTTCAAATAATGGAAGTCTCATCGAGTGGAACAAACAACAGAAAGTTACTAAATTCAGTTAGCTAGTAAATATTTAATTTGTGCGGTTTATAGTAGGTACATACTTACCTTTGGCAAAGGTTTGGGCTTGACAACGTGAAGTCCACCAATTTCTATGACATTTGATGGAAATATGTGAGAACCCATCATAGCGAAATTCTGGTAGACAAGTAATAATTTAATGTCTCTGCCTAATTCCTCCAACGGTGGGACATCGTCGAAATACTGTGCCAGTGTTTCTTCATCGATTCTCTGACAGAAATACTTGTACAAAATATTAAAATAATTGTGAAAAATAACTCTTTCAATTCGTTGGTACAGTGTAGGTTTTGTACCACCTTCTAAAAAGGTGAATGCTGTGTGCGAAGGATTGTACACTATGCCGAATCTACTCATGTGCCAAGGCATTATTTTGTGTGATGTTATTCCAATAACCGGCGCTTTCAATTTATGTGCCAATCCTAAGTAACAGTCACTGTTAAATTGCTCTGTCACCACAAGATCGAACTTTGTCTGCGTTTTCCACAAATTTTGTACATTTTCATCAGCCATTACTAATTTACAATTAGCTGTTCCAGAATTCACCAAGAATAAACTGATTTCAATTATACTCCAATATGACCGGTACAAGGAAAAAACATCCACTAAAATTTTACTTTTACCTGCCAAGCTGATATCACGGTAGTTTTGAACAGGTTTCTTTTGAGGAAAATGAGATATTACTGTCACATTATGGCCTCGTTTCGCCAACTCTAACATAAAAGGATTAAACACAAAAGAATGACTCTTCCCTTCAAAAGGAAATACTCCTAAAATATTTAACGTATACACTTTATTAAATAAAACTATTGTTAACAACACACGAGTGAAACACGTGTTAACTTCCATGTTTCCTTTTTAAGACTCACGTTTACTCACCACCATCCTACTAGTTATTGATGTACCTAATTATTACTATTATATCATACATAACAGGGCCGGGTTTTATTTGAAATATAATATAGAGATTAAATTTTTCAGTAGATATGATAATAATAGGTGACCACATAATAAATTATTATGTTATTTGTGGGTAAAGGAAAGGGCATGCAAACGAAATAATTTCTATTTTTTGACACGTGTTTTTATTTATATAATGTATTTATCAAGTTTATGAATTACTATACTATGTTTGCTTACATTTTATGTGACAATTTTCCAGCCAAAACAACGTTGTTATTTAAATTTTTTATATATTATTTGTTAACAAATTTACAAGTAATGATATATTAAAAATTAAATGCGACCATAAGTTTGTTCGCCTAATTCATATAAAAAATTACTTTAACTTGTTTTTTGGCATGAGCCAAATACGACAATTTTTATGACGATTTGGTTAACCGGGTGAGAATGTTATGTAGCATTAAGTTCGTCTTTTGTACTAAACATGTTTTTTGTAATGTTGACCACATTATAATAAATAAATAAACGATTAACTAAGTTATTACTGTATTTAGCTAACATACAATTTATGTAGTATTTATGTAGCTTACATTTATTATATCATATGTGACGACATCAAATATTTACACTTATTTTAAAATTGATAACGTTATCTGAGAATAAAAAAAAATACAGCATTGTGTCAAAGCATCTTTGTAATCATTATTAAAGATTGTTTTTTATATTTTTTCATTATGGTGTATAAAAATTCAAACATCCCACATAATATAAAACGTATACTCCGTCACTGGTATCCATACAAAGTCAGATAATGGTTACAATGTTAGAGGCGCTCGTTATTATAACTGCTGCAAAAAATATTTTACAAAGTTACTAAGGAAACAGTGTTTATAAGACAGCAACAATGTAATGATTATCAGATAGATTAAAATGATAACGTGTTCTCTATGTATATATTTGTAACATTTGTATTATAGATACCCTATATCATAGATTATAAAGTATATAGATTGGCAATGTAAAAGAGAGAAATAATAATACATATGTTAGGGCTAGATAGATTAGTAGGACATTCATCTATATACATACATTCGATTCGATTGTTTGGGTATCTCTGTCCAATTCGTGTTTCAACCGTAAAGCAGTTGTATTTGCATGGCTGTGTTTCGGTTTGAAGGGTGGGATATGGCATGAATTTACTGGGTACAGAGGAATAACATCTGAGTCCTCAGGAATGGCAACGCATGGGGGGTATCATGGGCGAAACAGTATACTCTGTTATGTCCATGGTACTGCTCGTGTCTATAGGTGACGGTTACCACTTTCCATCAGGTGGACCGTCAGCTTGTTTATCATTCTGTTGTATAAAAAAAAAAAAAAAATACATATAAGCTCTAGTTGATTTGGCGGAAGTGGGAACAAGTTTTAATTATTTTTACGTTTTTAAGACATATTTAGTTTTAAGTGAATATAATTAGAATTAAGTGTGCTGTATATAACATAAATAAGAAGAAATAATAAAAAAATGCTTATTTTTCACTTAATTACGCTTTAAAAATTTATCTCTTTAAATGCAATATTATGGAACAATTAGAAATATTTTATATAGGAATTGGTAGAAAAATATATCTAATTTAAACTAATCTAAACGTTTAAGAATTAAAATAAAAATTATGACAAATAAGTGAATCTTTGCTATTTCTGCAACTTCAGTTCCATATAGATTCAGACCTTCCAAATGCATCGATTTACAAAGCACGCATATAAGAGTAATCATTTTCTTGCCTCGTTTATGTGATTGCATTGCCAGTCTGCCTCTGCGTAGTATGTTATACTACGTCTATACCCTATATACTCTACTACCTACTATACTTCATTTAAGTTAAAAGGATAAATATATATATATATATATATATATATATATATATGTAAAAAACCTTTTTGTCAACAGATATTCAGTGCCATGACAACAATTAAGTCCACGCTCGTTTATGCTATCATTTACTATTATGAAATATCAGGGATCCTTTTCCGTGTCTCCTTCCCCAGGTTGGTATACACTTTCAAAGACTCTAAAGATTCTGTATTAAATAAAAATAGCATGTTTCTACAAATTATTTTATTTTTGGTATATATCATAATATAAAATATTTTTTGGTCATTTTATTTTTTAACTTTTTTATTTATCTTTATTAACAATATATAGATACATAAGCAAAATACAAATAGTTACATTATGACGACTTGAAGCGTAAATGTTACCAGATGACAATTTGTTTATTATAACATATACATAATATTATTTTACAAAATACTTCTTAGAAATTAATTCTTATATCGCATTTCTGTCAAACATATGAATACATTATGTAATTATAACAGGTATTTAATACCTACTTGTAAAACTTAACGTGCAAGTTTTGTTTAATGACAATCATATTTATTTAGAATATTAACATATCAATTTTATATGTAGAAAAATAATACAATGCTAATTTATCTATAATACACATATAAACATTGTTGGTTTGCTTTTATTCTATTCATTTGTGGTTATTCATTTATCTCCCTCTCCTTCGGGTGCCTATAAGCATTCACACCTGTTCTCAATCCTTTTTTACTCGTATCTGTATTATTTTTCAAACAATCTATTATTTTCTTTTAATCGTCCCCTTCGTTTACATTCATTAATTTTATATTCAATATGTTCCTTAAAACATAGTTATAATTCTTTTACATGACATATCAAAATATACATAACAAAACAAACTATTACTTTGCAACTTCTATATTATTTGTACAACTTTGAGATTTCCTCGCACATATTTCATTATATTTTCTGAAAGTGATTTATACTCATATAGTGAATATTGTTCTGAAAATAATTTAATAAATTAATTATGAGTCATTATAATAAATTACATCTCTCCATCCAAACAATGATTGAATGTTGTTTTTAGTGATAAGGCAATCATTGCTTTCTTTATGTGATCTTTTCTGTTTTATTCGGTTAAAAAGCACAATAAAGAGACTTATTTGTCATCATCTACTGAGCACAAATTCTATTTTAGCTTGTTGATTCTCTTTCTTTTTTAGCTTGCTATTACCAAGCTAGTCCGATGGATAGAAACCAAATATAGAATTTTTTTCTTCTCTTGCACTAGAGTTTTTAGGTTGAAAGTAAGGCAGTTATATAAAAAGCATCATCGAATAATTTGAAAAATATTTATGTCATTTTTTACTGTATATTTACAATGTGAAGTAATAATACATTTATAAGTCACCAGCTCCAGTTCATATAACCACCCGAATGTGGTTATCAATTGAGATTCTCATAGAGTTGATAATACCCCAAGATATTAAACAAACCCACCGTTACGTTACTACATTTCACTCGAATTTAACTCTTTTTGTTCTTCTGTCTTCTATAATTGTAGTTTCGGAATCGTTTCGACAGCAGAAGCAACAACATGTAGCTAAAATTTTGTATAACACGAAACATAAAATGTAGGCAACAATAGCTACAGAACCGAGGACATCTAGCTGTAGTTGCTGGTACCACGGTATTTTAGCAGAGACCGTTGTTAAGTTTGGTGCGCCTTGATAACGTGCTACGTATTCGGTCCAGTAGATGGCGGTTTCAAGGGGCGACATTGGACGGTCATGCCATATTCGAGACACATGTTTGGCGCGTTGTTGCCATCTGTAAAAAATGGAAAAACTATTAAAAAGAAATTCGACTCGAAGTTTACAGAAAATAAATGGGCAATTAATAAAAATCTTTATTAGAAGCATGCACTAAAAGTACATTCAGTTCTATATTTAATATATTATTTGCAAATATAAACAACTATATTAACACAATTAGTAAGATTAATCGGTACAACTTTAAGGTACAACATTCATATGTATTACTATAATATGAAAATCTTTTAGTGTGTAAGTATCATAAATACAAAAGTAGATATAATTATTAAGGCTTGGAGTCAAGTTATCACTGAATAATAAAACCCAATTAATTAAAATGAGAATTCAGAGATAGTAAATTATAATAATTATTACTGATATAGGTAACATATTGTTTTGGAATGTTCATTTATATATATAAGATTAACGCCTGTTGATAATTAGTTGGACAATAATCACTTACTTACCATAATTAGTTTATTAAGTAATTCAATAGCTAGTAATTAAATATCAGATAGTACTATTAAAGTACATTGCGTTTACTAGTGTACAATACATCTTAATAACGCACAATTATGTTAAAAAAAGAGCATCAACTTACACAGGATCCAAAACTTCATTGATTGCATTTAATAGATACTTTTTCTTCAAATCTTGATATGAAACTGTTCTGCCAATACCCGAATCTTGAAGCGCTGCAGCATTACCATACTGGTCACCAAATAGAGGTACGGCTATGACAGGAATACCCGCATCTAGGGCTTCAATAGTACTTAAAATGCCTGCGTGTGATATAAATACTTTCACGTTGTCATGTTCTGAAACGTAAAAAGATATTTTTATAGTAATTTGTTTTGTATATACAAGTATTTGTTAATTTCTAGTTTTTTTTTTTGGAAACATTAAATTAGCACTTCTAATTATGAGTAATATTAAACAAGTTTCATTTTAATTATTTTATTTTATTGGATGAGTGATTAATTTTAATGTGTTCATCTATTTGTCGTTATAAAATCTATTTAATGTTAATTTGGTTTCTACTAATTTTCAAGGCATAGGTATTGATTATAGCTGAATTTTTTACTTCCTCAATAATCGTTGTTTGTTACCAATTGTTAAATTTAAATATTTTACAACTAGAATAATGTGATATATTTTTTATATAAAATAATCATATAATTATTAAAATAGCACTTGACTATTCCAAAATACTTGTGTTGGTACTTACTTAAAATATCGTATTGTGGAAACCATCTCATGGTCATAACATTTCTGGGCAAGTCCAATGTGTTACCGTCCCATTTCCAAATAACTCTTAGTGGTAGTTTACTGAATGTTGCTAGAAGTTCTTCTAATTTATCCTTCGGAAGAGTCGAGTCCTTCACAGTTGAGCCCAAGTTGACATAAATAACTCCATGTTCCGCTTCGTTTATGAATCTCTCAATTTCCTGAAAATATTGAAACATATCATCAATGTATGTAGTACAGATAAGTCGAAGGTCTATATATGATGATAATGATAAACCGTAGCTTACACCTATGAACAACTTTACAAAATGGAATTATAAAATGTTTTATAGTCGATGTTTGATAATTGTAACAAGTTGTATATTCCAGTTTTATTGGCTTATTTAATTTTAAATATTAAAAAGAAATCTTGTTAAAAATAACAAAATATTTTTTAGTCCCTTTTTCTAAAGAAATTTTCTTATAATATTGTATTGTTATATTATTGTGTTTCATATAACTATAATATATATATATATATATATATATATATATATATATATATATATATATATATATATATATATATATATATATATATATATACATTGGCTTACATAAGAATAAAGTTTTCATTAAATTTAGAATTAATGCAATGTATATTTGTAGGTATATGTAGATACGTAATGGACAGTTTTAGATTCGTCAAAAATATAATCTTGTAAATTCATGCAAATTTTTATGCTTCTTGATTACGTCATTCAGTATATACTGATCTAGCTCAGCTAATGTACCTAATATTCTAAAAATAGGAGTATGACCTAATAATCAATACAATACAAGCGTCATCTGTCAACGATTTAATTGTTATGCAATTGTGGATAATATTGTTTAAAATGTATAAAATTATATGTAAATAAAATATTAGATATTGTCATTGATTATAACTATACTTACTGTTGGTATTACTTTTGGAGGGCCCACGTGTATGCCGCCAATGTCAACAACATTATCCGGGCGGGAAACACCGCCGAATACCGACTGGTGTGTGTTTACAAACAACAGACTTGCGTTTGACGCTATACTTTCTAAAGATGGCAAATCGTCACCTAGATATTTATACAAGTACACATGATCTGTCACTTGAGATCCGACATAGTACACCCAGTTAGAAACATGATACAAAACAAAACTCTTCAACCGTTCGAAAAACCAAGGCTCTTTGCCATAAGGTAATCCAGCTTGTGTTACACATGCAGAGTTGAAATTTATCCCCAACCTGTTATACTGCCACGGTTGAATAGGTTGGGGGTTGAATGCGATATATGGAGCACTCAAATTGGCGGCCAAGGCCAGTCCGCAGTCACTGTTGTACGACTCAACCAAAATAACATCGAACCGAGGCCGAGTCCTTAACATATGCAGTACGTGATGGTTGTTCATAAGAGTCCTGCAGTCATCGTTTCCACCTTTAGTAGCGACTAGCGTTTCAAACGGCACACGCGATACTTCATTTACAATCACTGATTCAAACGATAAACCTTTATACACTTGCTTGTCGCTTAATAACACTTCTTTGTATGTGGCTGGAGCGTCAGGGAGTTGAAAGTGGCTGATGAGGGTCACTTCGTGGTTCCGATTGGCTAACTCCCGAAACAATCCCCTGTACGTGAGATAATTATTGCGATCCAACGAGGGGAACACTCCGAGTATTCTGTAGCTGTTTGTTGTGAATATCGTCGCGATGAAATAAAATGCGAATATAGTACGTTTTTCCATAATTGATGCGAATGCGTTCGTTTCGTTTCACTGCTGTATGATCACTAGAGTGTAAATGAACACTGCTTACGTAGTTTTCTAATAATAGAGGTAGACGATATGAGGTAATATTGCTGACGACACGTTTGTTTCGTAAGAACCAGAAATATTAGTGAAGCTCGGTGGCGTCATTGATCGTGGCCTCGATTCGGCGAGCCGGCGCCACGAGCGTGCTTCGCTCCCGACGAATCAGTTTTCACTGGACTTACATTCTTTAGATAGCACATTTATACAGCTACCTATATTACTATACCAAATAAGCAGATAGTAAATAAATTTATAAATTGTAGTTGGATTTTATTAGCGGACAATTAGCGGAATAAAATGTATTTTAAGGTTATTTGTTATACGCATAATGGAAAATAATGAATAAATAAACAAAATAAGTAACAATATGAATAATTCATTTAGTAAGTACCTATAACTCTGGATAGTAATAATGATAATAAACATGTACCAGAACAAGCAGCAAAATTTTTATTGTTTTAACTGTTTGCTTTTTATACCTATATAACTGCAACCCAGAATATCTGTTTTATGTATAAAAGTATTACTAAACAAGTTGTACAATTAGGTGACCTCATTGTAACTAAATCAGTATTTTTACGTTAATTGTTCGTAAGCTTCGAATTTCTATAATAATTCGAGTAAAACAAAATGTTATTGTATAGTTTTTTTTTTATTTTCATAGCTATTAACTGCAATCATTGCATTGTTATTCAATACTTTTAATATTCAATTTAATTTATTACTTTTTTATATTTTGATACTTCATTTCAGACATAATGTATATTATTTTTTTAAATACATGACTAATGACTAATAGAAGAGTATTTTAGAATATATGGAGTAGGATGATAATCCTAAGAGAAATAACACTAAAGTATTATAATATAAATGAGAATGATTCTTTTACACATTTACTAATAAAAATAGGGATAATATATCCAGAGTTCTAGATTTCGATGATTCTAGAGACTCGAGATTTTCAAGACACGACTGTCTTAATGTAGGCAATTTTTATAATTCTTTATATTATCAGTCTTGTTTTAATTAAATAATAATTGAAAGTAATTACTAATTAAGTTTTGAAATCAGTTCATTATCGATGAATAATAATAAAATGAATAATTACAATACAGTTTATTAAGAATATGTTTTGATAAGTAAATGTAAAAATCGCTAATCAACAGTCACAGAATACGTAGTCTTGTTATTAAACAGTGTTATCTTTATGTTCAGTTGTTATGATTGAGTTGTTCTATAAGTATTTATTATGAAGGTACGTGATAAATAAAGTATGACCTACCTCAAATGCTTCAAATTAATCATTTATGTAAATTTTTCATTTATATTATAACATATAATGTATTTACATATATATATTTAGCGCTGTTAGTAATTTAATATATTTCTTATAAGCATAATGAAGATATTTTTAATGAATGTAATGAATTTATATAAAAAAATGAAAAAAAAAGTTGTTAGTGTATAAGACAAAGTTTTCTATAAAAAAAAATCGATAACGAGGATTAGTTTAGTTAAAAAACATGTTATCTATTCATAGATGTAGAAAAAATCTCAAATAATGTCATTGTATTTTTGTTTCTAGTTAATTACCTACGAACTTACACAATAGTTATAATGAGTGTAATTTAAAACGATTTAGTTTTAACATTCTATTGTTATGTAGATTAAATTATGCATTAAGGTTATTAAATTACCTATGCATTTTAACATTATGCAGTGTATAACGCAGTCCAAACCCATGAGTCATATTAATACATAATTATTGTAAAAACTACTTTTCTTTAAATATTATTCATTTAAATGTAGTAGATTTCTATACTCCATATTATAGTCTGTATTATTTTGACTTAAAATTTATTCAAAATGTTTTACATTTTTGAGTTTCAAAAATGAGATTTTTAATATCAGTTGGGTTGGGTCCACTTATGAAAGTAATAATAAATAGTGGAAAAAAAGTAATTAATTTGTATTTTTTAAAGGGTGTGTGACTTAAAGTGTTCTACTAATAAAACTTAAATATTTTTACTAAAGAAACCGATTGAAAAACGACATAGAATTTCAAGGCTATTTCAATAATGGTTTAATAATCCACTCCAATAATCAAATTAATATGGGGCTTTAAGTATAGGTATTTATATTATATTATTTAGATACAGCATCGAGTCTTAAAAACGGGTCAACCTTTTGTCAATTAATTGTCAAATTAGCTGACTCCTAATAAAAATTATTAGTGTTTTATATACTTACTAGCGGCCCGTCCTAGCTTCGCACGGTTTTTTTACGTTTTAAAAAGTGGTTATTGTGACATAACGATAATAGTTGGACATATAGTATTGCGAAGTTTTTTTGTAGTTATTGTTATTTTCTTCAATATTGTAGAACATACTTTTGTTCTATCACCAATAGTTTCCGCAGCGCACGCGCACTCTATATAATCTAAGGTACTTCTATTAATCATACATTAGTTTCAACTAGATGAAGTAATGAACACAAATGTTTCTTTTTTTTTATTGAATGAAAATTGAGTGGTAACCCCGCCTGCGCTAATGGGATACGCTGGCGGGGCACCAGTGAAGGGTGATCGATGAGGATGAAAACAGGCCAGTAAGCCCATCATGATGAATTCATAAGGAATTAATCATGATAGTTTCCAGGGGGAACCGCGAGGAGGTCGACCTGGTTGGATATATTGCTAGCAATGGGATTCTTAGTCCCCATTACTAACAATCCCTTTCCCCCCAACACAAATGTATTGTAGAGTATCAATGGAATGAATTCTTTAGGCGATCTAATAGGGGAGGCCTATTTGCAGTCGTGGATTTTAAATGGAAATGATTATAATGATAACTATTAATTAAATAAAGTTATATCTGTTGTTTTAAATTACAGATAGATAAAAAGATTAGAAATAAGTATAAGAAACGATATGATAGGTAAATATGAAAGTAACTACTCTTTTGTTTAAACATCAATTTATATTTTATGCATGAAAGGTCATTCAGATAAGTACACATAAATAGCATTGATTAATGATAAAGCTTCTGTGAATATTCAATAATTACTTTTCTCACATTGGAGACAATAATCATGAATATAAATATTGAATTTTCATTTCAAAATGCACTTGCGACTCTATCCGCGGTAATCTGGATCTAAATTTTACTCGATATGGGATTTATAGCCCCTTCTCCATGACAAGTTTACGGCGATTAGTTGATCCAAATTCATGACAATTGTTTAATTCATTAAAGTTAAAAAGGTTATAAAAAAGTGTGTTTGCTCGCTTCTCACTCCCGCATTATTTATTATTTTGTAGGAATTATTATAAAAATAACAACACAACTAAAACTTTAAAATATTTAATTATCGCTTTATTTTTTATACCTCTCGGATAGACGAACGAGTTGATAGTTCATCTGATTCAATATGATATTGTCTAAAGAATTTCTAAACGTCATTTGGTCACTATACAAAAAAAGCGTCTTCAATTGTCAACTTAAATGAGACCAAAAACGAGAGTAACACTAAACCTCAGGAATAAATAAGTTACAACAAATATCTACCTACATCTTTAATTGTATTTAATTGAAGGTATTTGTGTATAAGATTCAGGCTAGGCCTTGTTTAGACACTAATATGCTGGGCATAATGTTACATTTTATAGATATGTATTTCACTTTGAAATTACAGGTTTACAGTAAACCCATGACTGTATATTTTTATGTGCAATAAATCTTTTATTAAATATAGAAATTTATAAATGTTGATATTATTAGTAAAACACTCGTACTATCGCCAAATTTTTATCCTAAATAACTAACTGAAATGTCAGTTTCCTCATATTGGGTTTGCTGGAAGAAATCTCTATTGGAGATAAGCTCGCCCTTGTGCACTATTATGTTTGTTTTTACATTTCAATAACCTTTTGTGTACAATAAAGAATAAAGTAAAGTAAAGTTAATACCGATTTCGTCAATCAAATCCCAATGTTTAGTTACATTTGTTTTCTTCGTGTTGTAAATACGTTCCTTTTAATGAATTAATGGATGAGTAACCCAGCCTTCGCTATTGGTTTATGTAGGTAGGTTACTCATCCATTTTCATTGATACCAGTGAGGAATGATAGATAAGGATGAATTCAGGTCAGTAGGTCCATCGTGATAATTCACTAGGCTCGTTCATCACCACGTTTAAATCAAACTGACAGGGTATATTGCTAGCAATGAGTCCGCTAGTTTCTGTTGCTGAAAATTTCATCGTCCACTTCAGATTGAATGGGTATGAATCAAATTTGACACACAGATTAAATTCAATACATAGAGACCTTTTCGCTACTGTATCACGAGCATGAGACAGCGGTATACGGTAGACAAATAAGTGAATTTCTGTTGATCCGAACCGTAAGATACGGGAATAGACTTTCCAGTGACATGTTTTGTTCGTCCTTAGGCCCTTCAAGTGTAGCGAAAATGAAAATGGCCAACTTCTGGGAAAATAAAATTCAAATAAAAACATATAATATCTCCCTTAATATTACTACATTATAAATTATTTAAATAAATACAATAATTAATATTGTATATTATTATTATTATTATAATAAATAATATTAAATTTATTTGAATTCATTTTAGGAAGAATTATCTATTTATAGTTTATTTAGGAATCATATTACTGGTTAGCTGAATCTCATTGTCCCTATGTTCGTTCAAGACTATATGGTAGACGTCGAATTATTATAAGAAAAAAATGGACATATACTTACTCTAGATTCATGTATATGATATATATGATCCTACACGTTAATTTTATATTACGTTAATCACGAGCTCAAAATCATGGGTTACATGCTTCTAATTATTATGGACTTTCTTTTTTTTTGTTGTTAGATATCTACGCCTGTTTGAATAAAAAAACAATAAAGTGCTGCTAGAATGAATTGCAAATTTCATTTTATTAATGGATTATTAATTTCAGCAATGAATTTTTTAACATAAATTAAGTGTAAACATTATGGCATGAACCAATTAAGATGAAAATTTGATGTAAATACCAATTCAAATTAAGTGATAGATACTAAATAAATATGTATTATAAAATATATTGAAATAGTTGGGTATTTACGTTTTAGTACATTATTAACCTTAAAATTACATTATTATTACTGGCACTTTGTATAATTTTGAACCAGACTTGTTTTCAGTTTTGATAAATACCTATTGTATAATATTTTTTGGAAAAGTACAAGTGTTTGTTATGATGATATCATCATAAAATACTTTATTGAAGATTAAAAATTAAAAGTTAAGCCACTTGTTTTATAGATAATAATTATGATATGTATTCGAATTTTAAAAGACATTAGTGAATAACAATTAGTGAATAACAATAAAATTATGACTAAGAATCAAAAATAAAAGTCAATATAATGTTATTTTATTTTCTGAATTAAATTACCAGAGAAGCGGAAAATAAACGTTACTATATTTTCCAAATTAAATTATTGAATAAAGCAACACTAGAAAATAAGTTGGAAAGAAATTTCAGTGCATCCCGCTGGGAGCGGTCTCTATTATATTCGCATTTGTAAGAGGCATTAGTATCAAGCCCCGAGTCCCGACAACATAAAAATGTAATTACAAGTAGGAACTTCGCAAGGCACTTAAATATAGATTTACCCTTTGAAGAGCTATTTGATGGGCCGAAGAGGTGTGAGATCCATCATATCTCGATTGTGCCCCTCTCAATTATTCCCTTCTCGGAAAACGATAACTTCATTCGTTTTTCAAACTACTCGTATATATCGTGTACATTCCCTATAGCTATTTTTCTGCAATGTACATATTGATTGTTCCGTTTTGTGTTATTGCACGTTTTTGGTATTTTGTTTGCTGCGTTTTGTTTCAGTTTTAATAAAAAATATTAGAGTTTTAGTATTTCTTATTTATTTGTTTAGACTAAAATAATCACGGTATTGTTACCTACGTCGCTTTAGTTTCGCACTTAGATATTTACTTACAATTTGTAATAATTTTTTTTATATATTGAATATTTGGAAATTATATACAGTTATGAATATATAAATTTGATAAAAAATATCAAAATGATGATAAATGCAAAAGTTTGTAACGATAAATTGATGGATATTTGCTATTATTTTTATAAACTACTGAACGAATTTTAATTAAATTTGGTACACGGATAGGTTATATTCTAACTTAGCACAAAGGATACTTTATGCACTAATTTACACGGGCGAAATCATGGGATAGGTTAGTACTTTAATAATAATCTTTGTGTTCTGCGTTATGCCAGTATTAGTACTTACAGTTGTTAAACTACCGCTTTGTAATTCTCTAGATATAATTTGTACCGATAATAAGGATTTCCACTATCCAAGTATCAATAATCAATGTTATCAATAAATACAATGTATTTTCTAATTTGCACACGTAACTATTTATAATTGATAACTGTTAACTTTTTGCAGCTGTAATTTATAATGTTGATTAGAAATGTTAGGTACTTAGCAATGATTTTGTTAAATTGATTTAAAATTATTAAAAATTAGCTATATTCGTGAATAGGGATGAGATTGTTAGACTAGAGATTGTTATAAATTAGACTTCTATGCGTTCCCTATGGAAATAATCGTGGTTAATTCTTGATGAATTTCTCACAATGAGCTTACTGACCTGATTTCATTTTCACATAATTATTATTCCTCACTGGTACCTCGCTAGCTAGACCCAAATATAGAGGTGGGAGTTACCATTTCATTGTCATGCATGAAAGAAAAACTCGACTACTTAATATGATTTTTTAATGGGTGAAATTGATTTTTTTCTATTTCAACATGATTTTGTTAAATCGTAAGTGTACCAAAATTGGGCTAATGAAATCGATCCTAAAGAGCTATTCTCTAACTAGTTTGGTAGTTTTAGTTACAAGTAATATTTTATTGTCTGATTATTTTGACATGTTACTTTTTATGCCGTCATGGTGAAAAATAGCTTAACGGATTTTTACAATGTTACAGACGAAACGAGTGTACGAGTTATGTATTGAATATATTCATGAAATTTTTAAAAGGACAATATTATGAAATTATTTTACGGAATAGCAAATAGTAAATGTAAAGTTTTGAATCGATTTTTTTTATACAACTTAGAATGGCAAACAAGCTGACGACCCACCTGATGGAAAGTGGTAACCGTTGCCTAGAGACATGAGCAGTACCATGGACATAACAGAGTAGGTATACTGTACTGTTGAAACACGAATGGGACAGAGGTACCCAAGCAATCGACTTTTGTACAAAGTTTCCATCTGTGCTAATATTATAATAATAAAAATGAGTTTGTTCTTTGATTCCTTTTGGTACCTTAACGGTTTAATCAATCATTATGAAAATTGGTATAAATGTTCTATATGGGATTAAATACATAGATTACGTTTTATGTCATTCAATGAACATATTACCGTTCAAGCAGACGAAGTCACCGTAATTACGAAACTTTTTATTTTATTATTTTTTTAATATTATACATTATTTTTTAATTACTTTTTATATTATCGAGTAGGTATTATAAAACTTGAATGACTGTAATCTTGTAAAAGTAATACGTGTGTAAGTAAATGTACTATTTTTAATCTATAATGCGTAGTCATTTGCGTCAATTAATAATTAATATTAATCGAAGATTAATATTATCGAATGTCCGTGCACAAAATAATAGCTTGCAACATCAACCAGATCTCGAAGACAGAGGTGGCTATCATAAAGACGTGGTGGATAAGATAAATTTAATTAATTACATATTCTTATCGGCTGCTACATACCTACAATAATGTTTCCAAATTTATTGTAACATATATTCTGGAAGTTTTTTAATGAAACTTGACTTGAATATCTTTGTCTTTCCATAATCATCCCACGAACACATTACCGGTATTTCTATTAACACCATTAAATGGTATTGATGGTACAAGGTGTCACAGAATACACTGTGATATTGGTGATACCCTTTATGTATTGTCATTTTTGACGATTAAGATGTGTACCTATTTATCTACTCTGTAGTTTTATTGCCAATATTGCAGTATTCCTTCGAAGATGAACGAACATAAGAGACAGCTATTCAAGAACCGTTTATGGCTTGAGTTCTCACTCATGTTTTTACCATAAAACAAATTATAAACAAACAAAAAAAAATATATTTTAGTTAAAAAAAATAAATGAATGGCAACGAATGGGGGGTATCATGGGCGAAACAGTATACTCTGTTATATGTTATCTGTTATATGTTATATATCCCATTCTCAGTTGTATAAAAAAAGTGAAATTTAAAATATGAATATATTAAAATGTAGTACTTTTCAGTTATTTTATATTACTTAATTCACGCAAGAAAAGCTGTGGGAAAAAGCTAGTAATTATATAACAAAAGAATGTGCAGCTGACGGATTCAAAACCTATTAAACTAAATAAAACGTAGTAAAAAAGTGATTTCATTCTTGATAATGTTCTTGTCATAATGCTCTGTGATTAATTGCGATACTCATCATTACGTTTTAGATTTTTGACTTTACAGAGATAATTTTTCTATGTTGTAATGTTCAATGTTCAATATACACACTACTATTTACTTACGTTGGTACATAAGCACTAATAAGTAATAATTTTAATTTGGCTAGACATTATTATCATTGATATATTGGTCTATCCTGTTGTAATCTTTTTAATAGCTATCTAATGTTTGGGTTCAGTAGAGTATGTAATATAATTTTGTGAGGCTTCTCTGGTTTTAAATTAAGCAAGAGATTTATTATTATAAACATTTACCACTTACTATGGTTACTTTTTAAAACTAAAAACTATTTCGATTGATAAAGATATATCAAATTCATATCAAAATTAGTATAGGCATCTAAAACTGGCCTCCCTCTTCTAAATATATTCGCCACTTTTGTAACTATTTAAAAAAAAAATTATTTGCTTTTTTTGGAGTGATTATCTATTTATGAGTGTTATATACATATATAGTGTATTTAGAGGGAAGTGTAGATTGAAAGACAATGTAGTAAGAAAGATCGAAAAGGATTCGTTTGTTTTGCTCATTTAGCGAGATTGGATAAAAGAAGAATTGCAAAAGAGATTTATCGAGAATGTAAGAATTGAGAGGGACCTTTCTAGACGTGCATATATCGACATATGTTCATATATGTATCGAAAAGAGCCAAATTAAAAGCGGCGAGCGTGTATAAATAAAATACACATATATGTATATATTTTTATCTACATATACGATATATACACAGTGTATATATATTTATATTGTGGATCCCTAAGAATTCGTCTAAGTTAATTACCTTCATTCAATCATTTTAGTATATAAATCAGACGCAAGTAAATAGATCATGATAAGATTATTTTTATTGTATATATAAATGGTAGTGTTAAAAGGGCAACAAAGGTATTCATAAGACAGTACCATGAAGTTGTTTGGTTTAACTTTGGCATTGGCTCTTGCAGTCGTAGTCTGTGCTGAGGACAACTTGGCACAGGATGTAGGAGTTTTTGGCTACCATTATAAGATTGGAATTCCAAAAGCAAGTAGAATAAAGAGATTGGAACAACAAGGCCTCAGTGCTGCTCACGAAAGAATTGTTGGAGGAGCCATCACTGATATATCTCAAGTGCCATATCAGGTATTTTTTTTTACTTAACTTGAAATGTCAAATACGTTGATGTACCCTTTACCTATTAGAAAGTAGTGAGCATCACTTATAGATAACATCTTGGAATGCACATATGCCCATTGTATACCTCATACTTTGCCATTCTTGAGTCCTAAGGTGTTTGTACCCGATAATTTAATAAAGTACCCTTGTAACCGAAACAGGCATTTAAGCACAAGGCATCTATCTACTTGATGACAGAAACACAAGTGGGAAAGAGGCATTTATTCGGTCAACTTTTCTAAAATTTCTGCATCTGGTAATATATAATTTTGTTTTACATTTTACAGGTGGGACTTATTATTCAAATTCTGTTAGTCCTGACATCTGTCTGCGGTGGTACCGTCATTTCTAACACACGTGTGGTAACAGCTGCTCACTGTTACTTCGATGGAGTAATTACATCTAGCAGCATCACAACTGTCTTTGGCTCTAACTTACTTTTCTCTGGAGGCGTCCGTATAAGCACCAGTGATGTTTCCGTTCACCCCAACTGGAACCCACTCACTATTTCTAATGACATAGCCGTCATTCGTGTATCGCCAGTGACTTTTTCAAGTGAGTATCGTAAAAATTTTAAAATATTTTGTGTACCAATAAAAAAAAATGCGACGTATACTCTGTTGATGGAAAATACTATTAATAAACTAAATTATACATATAACTCGTGCTATGCTGAATTCTAATAAAATGATAAATATAATGCAAATGGGTAAAACTATACTATTTGCCTAAGTTATAATTACCCATGTCTTTTATTGCCCGTTCAAGGAGTACAGTTCTAAGCATATTTATTTTTTATTTTAAGAGAATATTGCGGTATGTGCTTGATATTTTATATAATCAATAGTTAAAACATGCACATATATTTACTAAATACTTAAACAATAGATATTTTTATACCTATAATAATGAATACTTTAATAACTGTAATTTTATTTATTATTGACAAATATGTATATTTGTTACAGATGTAATTCAGCCTGTCGCTTTGCCTACTGGATCTGAAATCGATAATAACTATGCTGGTGTAAACGCACTTGCTTCTGGTTACGGTTTGACCTCTGATGGTGAGTAATCTTACTAACATAATAAAAGTGAAAGTGAAAATGTGTCTTTCAATAATTATTATTCAATCACGTTTCAACGACTGAAGGGATTTATATGGAAAATTATAATTTTTACTTTAAACAACACAAATATTACTAAATGTACTGCTTTAATATTTCATAGATTCGTTATAGTTCTCACTAAATTCTAAAATATAATTCCACTTGTAATGGAAATTCTACTAAGACGTAGATTAGACCAAAATATAGACACGACGCATTGTTAAATCATGACATAATTAGCTAACTATATATTCGAATTATACTGATTTGTAATAATGCAATAAAAATACTGTTAATATCTATAAGTAAAAATATATTATTAATTGTAATAATTTTATTGACAAATAAATAGAGTATATTAAGGTTTTGTAATGTCCTGCAAAGGCGTAACACTGTCATTTATTAAAATAATTGAAATAGTATTGTATTATAGAGCAATCGATGCATTTATACTGATTACATTTTTACCTTTTTTTATAGATAAAAATTATTTTTTATAAATTTCTTATAAAATAGTTTATTAATATATTTCTTTTCGTTATGACATTGTTAAGAAGAACTTGTTAATTTTTGTAGAAATTCCTCTTATTGGTGGGATTTGAACGATCTATAAACCTAACTTATATTTAATTAAAAAAAAAAGAAAGAAATATGTTGTGTTTAACTTTGAATTTTAATTAACAGGCGGATCAATCGGCGTTACTCAGCGGGTGAGTTCCGTAACTCTTCCTGTGATAACTAACAGTGAATGTTCCGCTGTATATGGTGCTGCTGTACAAGACACAACGATTTGTACCAGTGGTGAGAACGGACGGGGCACTTGCAGCGGCGACTCTGGTGGTCCATTGGTCACCTCGAGCAATGGTAGAAATATTCTGGTAAGTTTATATTTGAACAACAATGCTTTATGATCACAGTTTCGTAAAGTTATTGAGTTAGTATATGCATAAAAAAATCAATGAAACATTACTAAGAACAAATATCAGTAAAAGTGTTGTGAAAGTTTCGTAGTCTGAAAATAAACTAAGTAGCTTAATGTTACCTTTTGACAAAGAATTTGTAAAAAATTGCTGTAAAATATTTGGTTTATCATGTTTTAATTTGATTAACTTTGATCAGGTAGAAGCATAAAATTTGACTATACAGACGTGCATATGATGAATTGGATAGTCTAAGAAATTTTTTCATACATATATATAGAGTAAACAGAATTTAATAGATGAGATATTACTTAGTAGTAACGGTTCAACCAATTTTCTTTGAATTTTGACATAGTATATGTAGCATTTCGCTAGGTAAAAGATATATTTTTTTGTTTTACATACAGAAAGTAAACAATCCCAATTTATTTATTGGGATACTTTAATTCTGTGAGATAAATTATTTGATTTTGTGAAATTATTGTTTAATTTTTTTTAATTTCTAGATCGGAGTAGTATCTTTCGGAGCACGAGCGGGCTGCCAAGCCGGTTTACCTGCCGGTTACGCGAGAGTCACATCTTTCGTACCATGGGTTCTTAGTCAATAATAATAATCTGAAATGAATCATAAGTTATTGTAACAATATTATTTATTAAATATATTTTTTTGTAAATAAATCTATCTATTGTTATTATTTTAATCTATCAACTAAAACTATGTATATTAATGAGTCTTAAAGTCTGAAATTTGGTATTAACAGTTCTTTACATAACAATGCTGGATATCAGAAATTTTATTTACTTATTTGTCGTTTCTGACAGTTGCTTTCATTTTATCTTGAAGTAACATAACGTAAGAAGAAGATACGATAGAAACATTTTTTATCGAAATGGACATAAGCGTTACTCACTTCAACCTTTACTTCTGAACTTCTTCAAGTTTTTCTACTTATTATGATTTTAAGTCATAGAATATGTAATAAGTATATTGTCGTGGTGATTAGTTAATTGTATTTTACTTTTAGATTATCATTCTATCTATTACGCGGTCGCTTTATACATCATCATTATCATCATCACAATATTAAATAACTCTGAAAATAACCCTATTATATCCTTATAGAAGAAACTCATACTGATAGTAAGATTAGTAGAAAGTAGTGCAGTGCTACCTATTCCCAATATTATATATGTATTTAATAATATCTATGTGCAATTACTTAATATGAGTATCAATGATAAATAAGCATATATGTCATTATGGTAGATAATAGTCGTAGTAGAGTTTTTTTGGCATATCTAATCTTATAAACAATGTTAAAAATATCTTATCTATTTTGTTAATGTATGATATAGTCAAAGGTATAGGTAGTCAAAGGTCGTTATTTAGAGTGACTGCAGAAAAATTTTTTGAACTTCTATATTACTTAAATTACGACATCTTAGTACTCGGGTACTAAGATGTTGTAATGCCTTTCGAGATTTCTTAAGAGGCAACTAAAAATAAAACGCATTACAAAAATGCAAGCATTGAAAACTATAATACGCTTATCAAGACATTTGAACGATTTATGCAAGTCTAATGTGGTCATTGCAGGCTAATACCCATCGCTTCAATAATGCTCTTTGAGTAATTGAAATATAAAGGTCTCTGAGAAGATCACATTGATCTATAAAAAAAAGTGGGCTCTATGATGTTTGACAGAGTTAAGGATTGAATAGACGAATTCAATGAGACAAGAAAATAATAGATTCTACAATGTCAGTCGATCTCAACTATGTTCTTTGGATTTAGTAGTACAGTTACATAAATACTATTTGCAGATTTCTGCTTAGTATACCTATTAGAACTAAATTCACATTACTGCAATATCATTATTAATTTATAATATTCTAATAGTTCCCGTGTGGTCTCGGCATAGTATTGGCTCCTTCCTTTTCCGTGGGTATCGTAAAAGCGACTAAGGGAGGGCGAGGTTTGGGCAGCAGCATCTCTCTTAAGAAATCTCCAAAGCCTAACTGCGATTGTCAATCCACCTGCCAAGCGTGAGAACTACTAGCAAAATGTCTTAAGGGGAGGCTTATGTTCAGCAGTGGACAGTTAAAAGCTGATATGATGATGATGATGATACTAGTAGTTATAATTAGTTAAAGTAAATTAAAAAGTAAAAGTAATACACGAAAGTTCCCTCAATTTAGCTTTTTCCTTTTCTTCCTCTAACTTCATGCCAAAGGCTCCTAAATTTGTACATTATGCTCCCTACATAGAAGGTAAGAAATTTTACATTAAGATATATACATTTACTAACTAACGACCAAATAACCATATGCTTATGTTATGTAAACATTAATCTATAAGACGAGAAGCAATGTAAATTGCACTAAAAGCTTTGTAGCACTTAGTGATAATTTAGCACTAACACACAAATGCGCAATGATTACTTGATATCAGGTACTCACAGCATTTCGAATAATTTAATGATGCTCGTTTTAGTTGCGGTTCTGAAGTGCTTCTGTACATACTAAATGACTAGTCAAGTTTTTAGATATGTGAAAAGATCAGAGAAATAAGGTCCGAACAGCATTTTGTAAAACTTTTGGTATCAGTACTTTTTAGGGTAATTCGATTTGACTGTATACGATTCTGTCTAGTGCTATCCCTGCCGCGCCCTTTCTCTTCACCCCCTTTCCCCTAAATATGTCCCTTACTGTCGTTTTTTTAAATTTGTACTTTTAGTAGGGTAAATTACAGGTGCCAAATAGTTTCACAAAATGTCGTAAGACATAAAAAGAAGGGTGAATTTGATATTTTTTTCTACTAGTCTACAGTAAATTATTAAAATAAGAAACAGTTTTTTAAAATGTTCAAATTTGGACAAATGAAGTGAGACAACTTTTATAATAATAACTACATTTAGATTTTATATATTAGCTTAAATAATATAATGATAAATAGCACATGCTAGCGTCAGAGCGACGTCTATAGTCTCAAACACAGCAAAGATTATGTACTAAGAATACTAAAAAGGGAAAGTCATAAGTTCATTTATTTTAAAGTAACTATATGTAGAAATTGAATAAAATATACACAAGTATACATTTACATGAATACAAAAGTGTGACAGTCTATTAAATCAGTAGGCCACCAAGATTAACATCATTACGCGGACAAAGTCACGGGCAGATATAATGTGTGTATATATTTCGTAAAATCAGATATCGGAAACGTAGCACATTTATCACTTAGTAATAATGAAATCAAAATAAACCTATGTCAGAGAATGATCGATTGTAATTGGTTTAACTTTTCCTAACAACCAATCTATTTAAAGTATCGATTAAATTAAAGCTCGATTCAGCTGACGGGGGAAGTCCAAAGACTGGGTTCGGAGATTCGCTTTAATTACGGAGTGGATTAGCAGTAAGTTTCGTGGGAGTCGCCACATGATGACATGGCCTTTGTTTAAGCACTGATTAATCAGAGCTTGACTGGGGGAGCTGGTTATATATTTGAATTCTCTTATAATAAAATGGTTATCAATTCAGCGCCCGATGTTATGAAATTATTTATAACAAGTTTTTATTTAGCACGGAATTATAATTGTATTAATTCTTTAATACAGTATAAGATAAGATATGACTAGAATTAAGACCAGGTGAAACTCGAAATGTTATTATATCAGTTTAAAGTCCGTCTAAATAAAATTAATAATAAAAATAATTAGTTTAAATCAATATCGATTTAGAATGACCTAAGTAAGATGCTTATATCTTAAAATTTTCATTACAGAAATCAATTTTATTTCTTTTCAGTTTAAAGAGCTGTATAATACCTGCAGCAAAGTATTCCTTGGATATCATATTTTGTATTATAAATAGTCGATACAAATAAGTGATATCAAATTTCTTAATGGTCGAGGGATGAGCAACAGCGTCCCTTTTGAAACTTTACCACACTCCAACTGCGGTTGCAATCTAGGCGGGTTGTAATAGTGGTAAGTAACGTAGTAACTTGATACCTGGCAAGCGTGGAAACTACTGCCAAAATTCCTTTTATGGGGGAGGCTTGTGTTCAGCAGTGGACAGTTAATAATCTGATCATAACATCTAATCTGATGTTGATGATGATGATGGAAGGTTGTTGGAATAGAAGGTTGAACTTCTGGTAGTGATAATGGTGATTAATCGTTGAGTGTTGGCAGCAACACACATACTAATGGTGATGGTTTAATACCGTAATAAAGTAAAACAAAATAATCCTAATCAAATAACAAACGATATGGACTTCTACAAGACATTTGTTAACACCTAGTTCAGTGAAATAGTAAAATAATATCAAATGTATTCTAGTTATATATAAAAACGGCTTCATATTATTATCATTATTGTTATCATTTATAATCACATTTTAAGGTGAAACTGATACAGGGGTAAACCCTATCGATTGCGATAAGTATTGTAAAAATTTGTACTTTGTGTTATTTTTACCAATTCTACCGACATTTAGTTTGCTTATTTTTAAGAAAATCCACCTTTGAAGTGGCTAAGTTAAAAACAAATCAAATAATTTGTTAAAAAATCAATAGATATGGAAGTACTTAAATACTTTTTAATAAAAATATAATGATTAAAATGTATTCGTAATATAAAGATATTACGTAACGTATCAAACAAAACTGAGAGCCTACTTGTTTAAAAAGATAGTTGTTATTGAGAATTGAAGCCAATGGGAAACACCTGGTGTTAACTACTTTAATTACGTTACCCATTAATCCAAGTCCGGGAACAGGGGCTCTGGACAGAGACGAATTGGCCCACCGCACAATATTTTAACGAGTGGTATACGGACTTTAGTGTAATTGGAGGGTTACTAAAACATCTCATACAATTACAATATTCTATTCAGATAATGACAGTTACTCTTTTATTCAAAGACACTTAATAAGATGGAGAATATATATTTTATGATTATTTAGTGATGCATCTATTTTGATATTATATTATTTTGATCTATTTTAACCCTGTCAGGTCTAACTTTGCGTGGTTCCCGATGGAAGCCATCGTAGTGAATTCCTACTGAATTTGTCACGATAGCTCAACTGTTCCGATTTTATCCTCACCTAACATTAGTCGCTGGTTCCTCGCTAATCAAATAATTCAGGCAGAGTTTTCATATTATCGATTTTGACTATATAGAAGTTGACTGACATACTATTATCATTAGGTCAACCTTTGGTACCATACTGTCATTTGGTTAGTAAAGTTATTTAAATAAATAATAATATAGCATATTTAACACTTGATTATCTCCATTTCTATCTAATTTGTAAGAGACTTAACATGAAGATAAATGCAAATAGTTTATGACAGTATCGAGCAAAAACATGCAAAACCTAAGCTGTAAATTTAGGGGGCTTCCCCCCTAAATATTGTTAGAACGGAGGATTTTAGAGTTCAATTATTAGCAATATACCCTATTAGATCACCCTTAACGCGGTTTCTTCTGGAAACTATCGTGATTAATTTTTGTGAAATTTATCACAATGGGTGCCAAATGACCTGCTTTCGTCTTCACCTGTCATCTTTTTATGGTGCCTCGCTAGCGTATACCGATAGCACAGATAGGTTTACCATTCCATTATCATCCCATAAAAATCGTTGTGAATTCATCTGGTGAACATCAAAAATAAATAAA